CTGAACCAGAACTGAACCAGAAGGACTAAACCAGGACCAAACCAGGACTAAACCAGGACTAAAACAGGGCTAAAACAGGACTAAACCAAGACTAAACCAGGTCTAAACCAGGTCTAAACCAGGTCTAAACCAGGTCTAAATCAAAACTGAGTGTCTGGACGAGCCCGGAGGTGCACCCGTGTAGACTGTCGGGTGACTGCAGGAGAAAGGACTGGCACAGAGCTCTGTGCCCCACGGGGCTAAGCCAGCACTCAATTGCTGTTTGCGGACACCCTGCTCCGCGGATTTGGGGTTTTCTCTCTCTCACTCTCAAGCCCAAGATTAGTCCTGATTTGGACCTGTTTCAATTCTGGTTCAGCCCTGGTTTAGTTCTGGTTTAGTCCTGGTTCTGTTCTGGTTTAGTCCAGGTATAGTCCTGGTTTAGACCTGTTTGAGTCCTGGTTTAGTCCTCCTGGTTCAGTCCTGGTTCATGTGTTCTAATCTATGATTTATGTTCTGTAGGTGATTATGAACGGCGTTAATGTTCTTAAGATGATTCCGCATTATTTTCAGTAAAAACAAACATCAAATATTACAGATTTTTACTGGGCTGGCGCCTTTATGTTTGTACTGAACGTGAGTTCGGGGAGAACGGTATCGACCACTGGTATCGACATTTGTAATAGAACAGAACAGTTTGGTTGGTGCATCCCTAACAATATGGGGCAAATGGATAACCCAATAGTGTAATGTTGATAGGTTTTTAAAAAAAAAATCATCAAAACTTATCATCTCAAAAAGTGCAGGATTTTCTAGCAATAAAAAATGTAGAAATTTCAAACTAGCCTGGAGAAAAACTATGGGTATCCATGATAAATGAGGTAAAAATCCTTATAGTAGAGGAGTTTCTTTGCATTTATATACAAAGCTCATTGGTGTTTATATTGATTTTGCAATACTTACCATGATGTATCTTGGTATTAGATGGAAACAAAACACAAACTTGCCCTTTAATATAACACAATCAACTGATAGGGGTTTTTCGTGCCCAATGTCCATACTATTACCAAGAATCCAGAGCGGCCAGACTGTCGTATCCACTGCTCATCAATTTGCCCAATTTACTTGTCACTCTCAATTAGCATATAGATCTATCCAGTTGGAAATCAATAGTTTGATAGGCTCTAGATCAATACGGGAAACATTTAGAGGAAATAAGAACACACGTTTAATCATTGAACAGATGCTATAAATTAGACTATGTACAAAATACCTCCATATTTTTCTGTCGGGTGAATTTACTGTCAATTTATTTATTGAGGTAACCTACAATGACCCTGCTACAAAATTGATTTCCATTCTTCAAATGACATTTTAAATGGAAAACATAACCTGATCTATTTGTAAACTGATATTTTATTATTCAAATCCTAAGTGCTTAAATATCATTTTCTTTTTTCTACAATGCAGGTGTCAAATTTGTCTCCCTCTCCAAAAATGTACGGACTTTGTGGCATCATTTTATATTCAGGAGCTTGCATAGTATTACTTATTTTACCCATCAGCCCCTCCTGTTCATCTTCTGAGAATCAATCAGTAATCCGTCATCAGGTCAGGCCCTGCGCTGCTGCTAAAACTGGATTATGTTCAGAAAGAAATGAGTTTAAAAATAGTTTTCATTGTGTATGGCCTATCAGAAAGGTTATGTCTTGGTCAACATTGTTTTCTGACATTGTAATAGTATTTTTTATACCCAACAGTCTGTAGTCTGTGGATTTATGGCAACATTAAACTGAGATTAATCTGACATTGGATCAATTTAGAGAGATTCAGAGTAACAAACAACACATTGTTTATTGTGTACATTTCATTGTGAATTTGATTGTTTGAACCAGTGACACAAAGTTAGTTGAAATAGTTAATAATATTGAGTTTGTTTTGTATTTGTAATAGTACACATTTGGTGTACTGTGTTATCTGAGAAATGTATTATACAATGCCCTCATTTTTATAGGCTTGGGACCAGAACAAAGAACTAAAGTTTTGAACTCCACTCTACAAACTAAAGCTTGAAACTGAACTTTTGTCATTGTTTAGCTCAACTTCTATCATAGATTTTTCGTAAACACAAGTGTACAAAATCTGAAAAGCATAAAAATAATAATAAAGCGACAAATTGCAGGTTCTCTGTGTTTCTTTTCTGCTTGTCTCCATGTAGATGTAATTGCTTTACATATCATTCTTCCCCAAATGTGTTAGACAATCACTGGGGGAACAGTACCACAGAATCTATGCATAGTGTTATAGTATTAGTCAGCACATTTCTATTTATTCCCCGTTAAAATGAGCTTGGTGGTAAAAAGTGCCTTAGCTCCAGCTGCAGTGACGGGACTGCAGGAGGGCTGGGCACGTGAGAAGGCAATGCACTGCTTGGATTTATGTATTCCTGTGATGAAGGTTTTATTCTGCCGTAAATCCCGCATGCGGCGCGCGTGATCGCCTCGCTCTGCTAATCTTGTCCACTCAGAGATGTAGCTGCGGTCATGTCAGAAGCTGCACATTTTAATAGGTTGCACTCATGTGACAGCTAGGGTTGTCAAAAGTATTGATAATCAGACACTAATCGATACTAAAACTACTATAAAAACTGGATACTCATTTAAGCAAGTATCAGTACTAAAATGAACCTTTTCTGATCTTGAACTATAAGATCACATACACTAGTATACGCTCATGGACCACTGTCTGGACGACTGAGGGATTAGACAGATATAAGGCCACATGATATATGATATAATATAAAAGAAAGAACTGAAAATTACACTTTATTGTCTAAATAAAGAGTGTTTTTTATTATTGTGGTATCGGAATTGGTTTTGAGTATCGAGTCGTTTCCCTAGTATTGGAAATGAGTTTGAAATTTTAGTATCGCGTCGATACTAGGCGTTCTTAAATCCCGATAGTTTAACACAGAGCTGGAGGACAAGTCAGAATTCAGTGGTTTGCTTTTTAAATGTCAGATTGCAGATTTGTTGAACTGGTTTAATATCTCTATGCCTCTGTAATTACCAGGCCTATTCACATGAAACAAAAACTGGCAAAACTGGCACAAAGTTTAACATCTACTCTGTCAATATAAATAAACATTTTTTCAGCTTTTTTTTCTTTTTCTTTTTCTTTTTTTTTTTCAGAAAATTGTGCCATTTTTCAGCCTTCAAGATATGAGTTTTGACAGCATACGTTTGGATATATGTCATAAGTTAGGATATTTGTTTCTTCAAAAAACTGTAAATGTTCTATAGAGTTACAAAGGCCGCTGCTCTCCATCTGAAATTATGACATCATCTCATTCTAGAACATGAACCCAACCTATAGGAAGTGGGACCGGTTCAGAAACACAGCCAGGCTTCATGTGTCAGCAGCAACAGCACAACCGAAAGCAGTTTGTCATTACCACACTGACTGCTCAAAATGCAAAGGGTATCGATTCACTAACCTGCAAGAGAAAAATAGACTGTTTCAATGTATGTATGGACGTTCACGCGGTAAATTCTATCGCAAACAAGTTGGAATAGAAATTTGATTAGTTGCAATGAGTAAAACTGCAATTACGCAGGTAACATCCTCAGAAATGAGTTAGCACAACAGCACAACATAAATGGTATTCATAGTTACAGGGTTGAATTTTTCAGTTCACTCATGAGTTATATTATCAATCTATTTTTATTTTTTTTAAATTCTCATTAAATTACGCATACTAAACTAATGGTGGACAGTAGGGTCTCATTAAGAAGTTGCCAATACGATATATATCTCGATACAGTGCACTTTTTATTCGATGCAATATATTTCAAATCTTGATACTTGATGATTTGATGCGGTTCAATAAAAAATAATGGTTAAATCATGACTGTGATACTAAAAGTGAATATGAAACACACACACATTTTATTCATCAAAACACTGAATATGTCAAATGTGTTGCATAATTGAATTTCCTTCCACTAAACAAGCAACAACACTGTAGCGGATTAACAAATAATTTTGTAAAATATACCAAAAAATACTCTTGGCAATGTATCAATACAGCTGTTCCCGATATCACTACTGTATCATCACATTAAACTATTATATTATTATATTTTGATATTTTTGCACACCCCTAGTCGACAGTATATCACTTTTCTTGTGGAGGGTCCATCACTGCTATTTTGTCTCTATGGAAATGTTGTTGCTTTGCTTAGATTGTTCCACAGCGTTAAACACAACTATTTTGCGTTTATTCAGTTAGTGATGGTACAATACTTTGAGAAACATCCTTTCTTACTGTGAGTGGGGTCACCTCTCCACAGATCTGATTTATAACTTTGCCCGATGGTGTCATATGATTGTCTCCATATAGAGATTGATAGGTTTAATACACTACAGTGCAAAATAGCAAGCAACGCAATATAATCTCCATGGAAACAAAATGCTGGCAGACCTTCCAGCAGACAAGTTACATAGTGCACCTTTCAATGAATTATGGATGATGTCTTTTTAATATATAGCCTACAAGGATGTCACTCCCCTATCCGTGGGGTTGTATTTTGTTTCTTTCCCGCATGTTTGAGTAATCCTCCATATTAAGACTGTGTCCCTCTCATGAGCTCAAACTGCATGGGCAGAAAGCATGATGTCATTATGTGTAATCCACAGCGTGTATTCAAAATCCAGGAATGCATTTAGTAATTTGTCTTTTTATGTATGTGATGTTTGAATGTGAACAACAGCCTGTGCCTCAATTTCCCTTGGTATTAATAAACTATTTGTCTATGTCATGTCTACGTCTGCAAGTCATTCACTGATTTTATCTTTTTTTCTCTTCCTGTCTTTAGGCTGTCATTGCTACTGGATGAGCCGTACTTCTCACCGGACAAATCACCATGGCCACCCACCCAAATCCTAACCACAACAACATGCTTCTGTGGATTTCATAGCTGCTTTTTTGTCTGATAGTTGCTTTTGCTCTATACACCACCATGCGCCCATCACTTGCCACTGCGGTCTTGCCTCCCCGGACACGTGCGCACAATGCCCCTAACCTGTCAGTAGGGGGCCGCGAACACTTATCCGCCCCAAGAAGACGTAGCCCCAATCTCCGGCACACCCTTAGCCCCGAAAATTTACGAACTCTGACCGAAAGGGGGGCAACCGCAGCGGCTGTGGACAATGCATCGGTGGTGAGTGGGCCTATCGGACTAACAAGAGCCAATAGTGACACAGATCTGGTCACGTCGCAGAGTCGCTCATCGCTCACGGCGTCTACGCTCGAGTTTACCCTGAACAGAGGGCAGAATCTGGTCATATCCTGGGACATCAAGGAAGAGGTGGATGCTACAGACTGGATTGGACTCTACCACATTGGTGAGATATGTTTTTTACATTACAAACACATAACAAATCGACATCACAATTTTACCGTGTATTGTTTTTGAAAATATTTGCCAAAAACAACGTATTAACATGTTTTATAAGTTTCACTGTTGTTTTTAACACTCTCTCTCTCTGAGTCTCTCCTTGCTTTACTCATTGTGTTAAGCCACTCCGTCTTCTGAGTGCTATCACATTACAATCAACGTGCATCCCACTAATGAAACTACTGCTCATCACATAAGATTTGTCAAGTTGCAGTATACAGTTTTGTATCATGTTTTTTTAATATTTGGAGAGTGGAATAGTTGTGTGAGAGCTGGATGGTGTAGGCTTCTGGGCTGAGCATTAGACAGAGTCTTACAAACTAACTCTAAGAAGGTTCTGAATAGGGCCCGGGAGAGATTGCTAAAATACTAAAACATGCATGGATAACAACTAACGACAATATACTAATATACTGTATTTTTTGGACTATAAATCACTCTGGAGTATAAGTTGCACTAGCCAAAAAATGCGTAATGAAGAAGAAAAAAAACATAAGTCACACCAGACTATAAGTAGCACTTTTTGGGAGAAATGTATTTTATAAAATCAGAGACCAGGAACCGACATTTCATCTTGAAAGGCAAGTTATAATAATAACAATAGAACAGAGAACAACAGGCTGTTAACGTCACATATGAACAGTTCTTCAGATAACTATAGCATAAACTACATAACATAACAAGTTTACCAAACTCTCCATCTCAGTCCAAATAACTACATCCATTGAATTCTTGATCCTCAGTGTCACTTCTGAGCAACTCTGCAACCTCCGGAGGTAAACGTTTCCTCTTCTGTCTTCCTCTTCATCAGACTCAGGATCAGTTTCACAGTTCTTAAATTTTTAGAATTATTCCGGCCTTTCTAAATCCCGACAGGATGGTTTCGGTTGTCACTGAAGTCCAGGTTTGGTCGAGCCATCCAATGACTTCCAGGAAAGTTGCATGCTGCATCCTCCCGGTTGTCGCAAGTTTCTCGCTCACTCCAAACTTTCTTTCTGCTGCTCGATTACCGTTTTCAGCTGCATATTTTGCTCCTTGCAGCTTGTAATCTGCAAAATATGATTTTCTATTTGGGGGTATTTGTGTTCAGTCTTCTCAGTTGTTTTCTATGTTTGTTTGGTTGTTTTAAATTTCCAGTCGTACAGAAGTAATGGTGCAATCAACTGACATGATACCAGACAGGACAGCTGTCCTTTCTGCAAGAGACATGCACAAGTGACAGTGGTTTAGGAGTAATGGGAGTAGCAGATACTGGCACACAAGCCTAGAGCGCCCTCTCACGGCTGTCAGTGTGAACATTTTAATATATAAGTCGCACCAGAGTATTAGTTACAGGAAACACCCAAACCATGAAAAAAGTTAAAAAGTTAAAACTTATAGTCGGAAAAATACAGTATATTTATATATGTATAATATATTTTGCATAATACCCCCTCTTTAATGATGAAAAGACTGAATTTACTAATTTATGAGAATGAGTAATGCAGTTTTATGATAACAGTTATTGTAACGATTTGATATTTAACTGGACACTTTGATAAATGAGACCAATGTAATGAACAGATTACAGAATAGATACACTTTGGCACGTAGACGTGAGGTGAGGTGATGAAAGAACAGTGTGACAGATTTGTTTGGAAAAAAAATTCTCCCTGGGGCCTAGACACTGGTGACAGAAGCGATGGATAGGCTGAGGGGGCTAATGTTTCTGCTGCTGCAATGGTAGAATATTGTATAGGTGTGAACACATGTCACAGAAAATACATATTTGAATGGCATGAGAGGAAAATGTATGGACGTACACTACCGGTCAAAAGTTTTAGAACACCACACTTTATAATTTTTTTTACTGTTTATTCATCAATTTGAGCTGAAAAATGAAACATGGAATCAATTTATAGACCAAAACATATTCTAAACTTTTAACTCATGAAAGTAGCCACCTTTGGCAGCTATAACAACTGAACTCGTGGCATTCTTTTTACAATAGACATATTCTTCAGACAGTTCTTCCCAAGTCTGTTGCAGAAGTTCCCATAAATGTGTGGCACTTGTAGGTTGCTTGGCTTTCACTGTTCTGTCCAGTTCATCCAAAAACCAGCTCGATGAGGTTTAAATCTGGAGACACTTCAAGTTTTCAAGCTTTACCATCTTGTTCTTTTTTCCTGAAGTAGTTTTGGCAGAGCTTGTACTTGTGTTTTGTATCTTTTATCTTTTTTTTTAACCTCTGGTTGTTCTGTACTTACAAGTTTGTGCAAGTCCAATCTCTTCATTGGACTTGCACGACTTGAATTGCAATAAATAACTGGAAAACTTAGGGGGTTCTAAAACTTTTAACCGGTAGTGTACAGTATACGATGTAATGTATGTAATCTATGTGGTCTTATACTTGTTCTGATAAAACTCAAGTTAATTTGAAAGGTATTCAGGAAAAGATCATTTGTGATTTGGACTTTTTTTTACTACCGCTCAAATGAGTATCTAGTTTCAGTAATAGTATCCGTTTTGATTAGTATCTGATTTTTGACACTTTTGACAACCCTATCTCGAATGTCATGAAAATTTGTTACAAAGGTCAATTACAAAAGTGGATTTTTGAGAGAGTTCATTTTTTATTGAATATTTAGATTCAAAAGGATGGATGTATGAGGTATTAGTTGTTCTTGGTGTATAAGTAAATATATGAGTTATATTCTTAGGGTATCAGATCCAACTCTATCTTTAACATTGCTCTCGTATCTAGAGCTAAGTATATCCAGGAGATAGTGCCACTGCCTCAAAGTGAACCCTGAAACCGGAGCCTTTTACGCAGAGCAGAGGGCTGAGTTTGCCCCGGTGTACGATAACACACAGCCCATCACAAACCAGGGCCCTGCAGAGAAACTGTGGCCTCTCCAATAATACACGACAATCCTGCTTAGAGGCACACTTTAACGGGAGCCATAGTGATACATTGATCTGGTATGAAAGGGTCAGGAGCAAAGTGTCCATCACTGTGTAAAGTAATAGTCAAATACACCAGCGCTCATGCATCTCCACATCCATCAGAAGATATCCAACTGCAACAAACGTTCTATATGCAATATGTGATAACTAGTCTAAAAACAAAATTATTGCAATATTAAAGTATTACTGAAATGGTGAAAAAGTCATATTCAAAACGTAAAGCTTTCTTCGCAATGCACAAATTATAGACTAAGTTAAAAGCATGTATTGTTTTTTTTTTTTTTTTTTGTTTTTTTCTTACACTGAAAAGCATATCCTTACTTTGAGCACGTTTGACTCACCTCCTGCTTGTCTCCATGGAAATATTGTTTCTGTTTGGCTAATATTCCACAATATGGTGTAAACAGGTGTCTCCCACCATTTTCACAAAGTTGGGCTACAAAATGATACATGTACTATGGTAATAGTCATGTAATTAACCACATTTGTGTTTGTCAGCACAATGGTACACTACCAGTCAAAAGTTTTAGAACACCCAGATTTTTCCAGTTATTTATTATAATTCAAGTCGTGCAAGTCCAGTGAAGAGCTTGAAATGGTGCAAAGGTAAGTACTGAACTGCCAGAGATTTTAAAAAAAGATAAAATATAACAAAACACAAGTCCCAAGTTCTGCCAAGACTACTTCAGGAAAAAAGAACAAGATGGTAAACTTGAAAACATGGAGTGTTCAGCACAGTCTCCAGACTTAAACCCCATCGAGCTGGTTTATGGGATGAATTGGACAGAAGAGTGAAAGCCAAGCAACCTACAAGTGCCACACATTTATGGGAACTTCTGCAACAGACTTGGGAAGAACTTTTAGAATATTTTATTTCTATTGTAAAAACTTTCATGAATCAAAAGTTTAGAATATGTTTTGGTCAACAGTGTTCTAAAACTTTTGACCGGTAGTGTATAAGTCTGAAATCCCTTGGAAGGGGGTGGAGAGCTACTATTAGCTCCTGAGCTACAGGTTAGAGACCCTGGTGTAAAACGTATCTATCTCCAAGAGAGAAGGCAGATTTATGTTTTTAACTTCGTATTTCCGTAGAATCATGCAGGCATCATGCCACCTCCAGAAAGGTATGCTTTTACCAAGACTAATCTAGGATAAAATCACATGACTAAAATGGAATATTTGGAATATTTTAAGCACATTTTTTTTGTTTTGTTTTTTAAAGCTTGGTAAAACTGAATGAAATTGATTTCTTTATTTCTTTTCTTTCAGTATTCTGTCAGCTAATAGCTAATATAGCAATAACAACATAATACGCAGCCTGATTGGAAGGATGCATTGACCCACTCAGGAAAACTGTCCATCACTGTGAAAAGTAATAGTCAAACAGACCAGTCCTGTATCGATGCGTCTCCACATCCATCAAAATATATCCAAATGTATTGATAATTTCATTCACAATAAACGAACATGGGCAAAGTGAAGCCACAAAGGAGCAGTTTGTGTTGGTAATCAATGCTGTTAAGAGCACCGCTTTGATCACTTCTATAGATTTGTAACAGAAGTGCTGCATTTAAAAGTTGTGTTAGCTTTAACCACAATGATGTCAGTCTAGCTTATTGTTATTTCAGCCTGGACAGACTCAGACAGAAAAGCTGTATGGGAACAAAAGCGGTTTTAAGAACTTTTTCCTATTCAAAAATGATAATATTTTGCTTTTTGTCCATTGTTATGGCAACGGTCCTAGTTTTTTTATCACTCTGAAACCTATTAATATACAGTAATGTCAGTCAAGCTTATATTGTTGTGATTTCAACCTGGACAGAGCGAAACAGCTGTATGGAAAAGGTGATGCATAGGAGGTACAGAGAAGCATATAAGGTATGTAAGGTAAGTCTTTTCTTCCAGGGCCTAGACTCAGGGGGTTATCATATACAAAAATACAAATACAGATGAACTAAATGAACTAAAAGCGCTGGGGTAGAGGGTTTCTGAACTCAACAGATGACTGGAGAAGCTGAGATTTTAATACAAACTGACTAAAAAGTAACTGACTGAGACAAATGATCATGTTTTTGTTAAGTGAAATTATTTTGACCATGATGATGACAAAAAAAAATATTCAGCCCCATCCCTACTTAGTCTTTTTAGTTCATTCTGAGCACTTGATGGCACGGTGGCTGAGTGGTTAGGACTCACACTTCACAGCAAAAAGGCTCCACTGTCGAATCCCACGCTAGACCGGGCCAAGCATCTCTCTCCCTTTGTCTGATTGAGTCCCTCTGAGCGTTTTGGTTTCCCCATCAACCCAAAACATACACAATAGGTAATTAAGGTAGTCCTGACCAAGCCTAGCTCAAGATTTGGAGATGGGTCCCTGAGCGCTGTATGACTGAGGTAAATATTTCATACCTTACAAATGTTGCGTTTTCTTCTAATAAGACACATGGTGTAAAAAAAGCTATTGATTATTTACTCGACATGTTTCGGCAACTGGACTTCCGCCTTCGTCAGATGTGTCAGCTGACTGATGTGACATGTCTCTTTATAGATGTTGTTCACTATAGGCTTTATTCAGGTTTATGTCACAAACCAGGAAGACGTTTGGAAAAATGCAATTACAACTTCCCAGACCCAGTTTTCTTCATCTACATGTCATTATACCGTTCCGATAAATTCGGCTTTTACAACCATTACTCAGTTTTCATAATTTCCCCACTGACACACAACTCCGAGCACACTGGGTACATGCAATTAGAAGAAATGAGGGCGCAAAATTCAACATGATTCCAAACCGCACATATGCAGTCTTCATTTTACTGCTGATCACATTTACTTCAATGGGTTTTATCACAGTTGGTTTTTATAGATCCATGTTAGGTGAGTCCATTGTCGGTAACTACACCAGAAGTTGTAATTGCATCTTTCCAAACATCTTCTTGGTTTGTGACTGAAGTGTGAATAGAGCCTATTGTACACTTTATTAGAAGAAAAGGCATAGTTTATTATAAAAAGAAGACAAAATGAATTACCTTACATGTTACTAATTCAAAAAAATTCCCTTGGTCATATACAAACATATATCTAGTCACTTTCCCTATTTGTAAGCCTTGAAGAACATCCACAGTATTTACAGCCTCTCAGTCTGAACAGTGACCTCCAGGAACAAACCATCTGCATAAGTTACCAGGTCTATCACACAGGGAGGAGACTGAGACCTGGTGCCAGTCAGGACAGGGTCACTGCTTATTGATTATAGACCTGAAGAGACTCTATCACTTGCCCCACGCTCTAATACCCAAGAGGGGCACCAGCTTTCCTTGACTAAGCAGACATTCAATGATAAGCAGGCTGCCCTCCCCCTCAGCACTGCACTCTTTGGTCAATGTGAAACTGCTAAACACAGCGGATTCCCCCTCCCCGATATAACGGAGGAAGTTTGTGCCCGTCCTCTGGCTGAAAGGTTGTGCCGGTGCGAAGGCTATTTTGGGAAACGGATTTCACTGATTAAAGGCAAACTTGTATTTTGGAGTCAGCAGAGTAAACAGACTGTGGGTGTATTGAAAGAAAGTTACATCCTGTTTAGTGGGTGGAGTTGTTGTTGAAATTGCTGAAATATTTAGTTTATGTGTTCTTTGTAAAAAGTTTGTCATGTAAATTTGATGGTCTATCAGATATTTTTCATGTTCAAAGGAAACGCAATGATTTACAGGATATCGCATTATTATAGTAGATTGTTCATTGTTTCTGAATGAAAGTCATGTGGCAAAGAAAAACACAGGAAGATGCAGATTTGACACAGCTTTCATTTTAGATTAAAGTGGGTTACTCAACCATGTGTGAATGAAACAAAACGCAACTCCAGGGATGTTTTTGATGAGGTAACAACATTCCAACATGGGTTAAAGCTCAAAAGAGTCCATTTGCACAATATAGGGTCTTTAAATTGAACCATTTGGTCCCTACACACAGGAAATAATTGAAAAAATACAGTGTTGTTAAATAAAGTTTTTTGCTAAATAAATAATTACCTTTGCCATTTGATAATTGCACCAAGTCACTGCATTTTCATTTTGATTGCGATATATTGTATAGCCCTACCTTGGATATGTATTATGACTGTTCACACCATTTGTCATTCTGAGTACCACCAGATCAAAACTAGGTCTGTCACATGACTACTTCATTATTAAAGTAGAAAATATGCAGAGGAATTCCATTAGCGTTAATGATGTTCTAATTCAGAGGTTCTCAAACTGTGGTTCATTAGTATAACATTCTTGATAAATTGTGTCATTAGCCAGTTGACCCTTTGAGGCTGCTGTAGTTTCAGTTCTTGACCCCCTGATGATGTCACATCCTCATAATTTCAGTCAAGTAGAGGTTAAACTGTTGGCAAAGAGATCAGAACATTTTTGACAGTTTTTACCGTTAACTCAACATAACATAAGATGGGAAAAGCTAAATGTCCAGTAAAGGTACACTATGTAACTTTTTTGGAGGAAGGTGCCACCAGGATGATCCAGAGTGTGGCACTAAACAAAGTAATAGATCTGTGGAAGGGTAACTCCGCTCACAATAAGATTGTTTTTCAGTGCATTTTTGAGCAGTAAAAACAGCTGTAATTGAGTGCAAATACACATTTGTTTATCTTTCTGTGGAACATTCTTTAATGAATATCTTCTCCATAGAAACAAACAGGTGGTGTACTCTGCTGCAGAAAAGTTACATAATGCATGTTTAAATTCTCATTTCCAGTTTCCCAGCCTGAGTAGATCACTGACCAGTGAAATCTTCACTTTGTTTTCCAGATGAGACCAGCCCGTCAAATGTGTGGGACTGTAAAAACAGAGGAGTCAATGGCACCCAGAAAGGACAGATCGTTTGGAGACTCGAGGCTGGACCCTATTTCATGGAACGTAAGTCATCTTTTAAACATTGACTGTTCATTAAATATTCCAGTCCAAAACAAAGCCTTACATGAACGCATCACCAGATAATTTATTAATGATTAAGTATTTTTCATCTTTCAAGTTAAACATCATTCACTAGCACAACCACACCACAACAATTGAATATGATAAGATATTGACGATGGATAGATGTGATGGCTGGGGGAGACGTAGCGGTGGGGGTACCATCGCCAACCCAAAATGGTCACCCAGCTGATTCGGAACCTCCCCTTCTTAAAGATGATGTCTTCGGGCTGAAGGATGGACGAGAGACACAGGGTGGGATGAAGGGGGTCAAGAGAGCTGACACTCACGGTGTTGTTGGGATTAGAGCCCGACCGATATATCGGCTGGCCGATATTATCGGCCAATATGGGCACCTGGAGACATATCGGCTATCGGCCGATATGCTTGCTGGTATGGGCCGATATTTCACGTGGGCATGTTATACCTCGTTATAAATCTTAGACTCTCTAGGTTATGTTCATATACTCCAATTTATAGACAGATAAATGTCCTAATATGTGGCTCCGCATCAGTATTTATTTGCGGTGTAATTTGTCTGTGTCCGTACTGTCCCTGAACACACCCCCAGAGTGACGTCACTTCACTCACGTGCTATTGTTTACATCCGCAGCGGTGCGCAACACTGAGATTATATTCTTTTTACGGACAATCGTCTTGAGTCTGGATTAAAAGGACTTTTATTAGTGCAGACTTGTGATGTGAGGAGGAGCCTGTGTAAGCAGTGAGTGTTGGAAATATGTTAACTTTGAAGCTAGTTAGCGATTAGCTGCTGTAGCTCCCGCACATAAACAGGCTGTTTTCTATTGGCCTATTGTAAAGTGACTGTATTGTCCGTATATTTGCTACTGGACCAGCATTGATATGTAAATGAGCTGTGAATAGACGTGTGAATGATCCACATTTATGCATATAATTAATTACCGCGGTGCGCACGTTTTTACGGCTAAAGGCTAATAGCGATAGTTTATTTTCTAGCTAGGAGTTATGGGTCGGTTGCGATCGAAGCGGCTCTTAGAGCCGACTCTTTGAAGCGAACAACAGGAACATGTTTCTTATTGGGAGCCGTGTTTTCTCTTTTTCTCACTTTTTCTCTTCAAGCCGCTTGTAGACCCGTAGTTTGACAGCAGCAGCAGCTGAAAACGAAACTTTCAGAAATATGCGTGTGCATAGGATTTAAAAAAAAAAAAAGTGTATATTTGGCTGCAGGTCAGCATAAAATGAATAAACCAGGACTAATCTTCAGGTCTTGAGAGAGAGATGGAGAGAGATGGAGACCGAGTCCCGACACTCAGTCCTGGTTCAGTTCTGGTTTAGTCCTGTTTCACACATGGTTTAAATCTGTTTTAGTCCTGGTTTAGTCCTTTTTCAGTCCTGGTTCAGTTTTAGTTTAGTCCTGCTTGCAACAAAACAATCTCAAGAGTCGCTTGGGAGCCGAAAAAGCCAGCTGCTTTAGTGAGCCGAGCCAAAAGAGCCAGTTCTCCAAAAAAAAAACTGGAATACCCATCACTAGTAGCTAGAACGTAATGCAAAAATGCCATTAGGCCAATCTACTGTATGTAAATATGATGTAAAGAGTCAGAATAACAATAAATGTTGCCTAAATAAACCCAATTTAGAATCCACTAGAGCCAAACCTAAGTTTTTTAAACAATTCAAGATTTACAGTGAATTTTTACATCACTAAATATATCGGCGATTATATCGGCTATCGGCAGCGCCAACTCCCATTATATCAGTTTCATATCAGCCACAACAAAATCCATATCGGTCGGGCTCTAGTTGGGATGGCCTTATAAATAGGGCTTGTGGGTAATTGAAGGCATGGTTGAGATAAGATGTGGTTGGCTGAAGAGGAGGTTGAGGCGTGGTCCAGCTCCTGAATCTCAATTAATCACATTCACTCCACATATGAGTGGTTTTGTTCCATTACCATTTTTCAGTCATGTGTGTAAGGTTATGACAGTTTAAATGTAATGTTCATAAATAATGTTTGATGTCCTGATCCTCTAACCTGTATTCATCAGTACCTGGGCACCGCTTTGCTCCTGACAGGTTGGCCCAGCGACACTGAAGAATGGGTTCAATGCAGAGTATTAATTACTCTATAGGGAAAACAAAAATTGTATATACATTCTGAGTTTCTGATGTTTTTGCTTGTATCTCTGTTTTGTACTTTCTGTAGCTGAGACAAAGATCTGTTTTAAATACTACCATGGAGTTAGTGGAGCCCTGAGAGCCACCACCCCCTGCATCACCGTCAAGAACCCATCTGTGCCAGCTTTTGTATGTATCTACTGGATCCCTTTTTAAAATGACTTAACAAAAAGTGTTAAATTATTTCAGTCGAAACATAAAAATTTGCATTTTTGAGAATTTGAGCTTGCAATAACATTCTTATAAAATTTTATTTTTTCATTTTCTTTTTCTTTTAGGTGGAGGGTTTGGCTGAGCAGGTGGGCATAGAACACCCACGGAAACTGATCAGCTTTACTTTGACAGGTAAAAGTAACAAAGAAACTATATTTTTAATGAATATACTCTGTTTAAATCTATACTGAAAACCCACCTCTTATGCCTCGCATTTAATACTAGTTAGACATCTTGGTATTTATTTTATGTTCTTTATATATTTTTTTCTATGTATGATGTTATTTGTGTATGTCCTGACTTTGATCTAGTTGTTTTAAATGTGCTAAAAAGAGTCAGAATCAAACAGCTCCCTTTGATAGTATTGTCTATTGTCAAAAATGCACTTAAGTATGTTTTTCATTTGTAACCTCTTTAATCTAGATCTTCGAGCCACAGGCCTGAAAAAGGGCATGTTTTTTAACCCGGACCCGTATCTGAAGATGTCCATTCATCCCGGGAAGAGGAGTGTGTTTCCTGTTTTTAGTCATCATGGACAGGAGCGACGATCAGCTATCATCGCTAACACCACCAACCCTGTGTGGCACGGAGAGGTGTGGATTTTAGTTTTAAAAGTATACAATTATTATTAGGGCTGAATAATATTTAAATGTAATTCTATGGCATGCTTAGTATTATAATCTTGCACAGTATCCCCGTAACTAAATACTGTACGTATAGCCAAAACAAGGGGGCGCTCTGCGACAGTTATCCATTTTCTTTTAGTTTTATTGTTTGATTTTCTAACTTTCGGTTGGTTAAATCAACAATTCTTTAAGGTCTGTGACTGCTGTTGTGATTTTGGGCTGTACAAAAACAAATTGGATTGAATTGAATTGTAAAACTACACCTTTTCTTCCCTAAAATTGCCCTGAATAACTTTTGGTCCAATCAATACTGTAATTTTCAACAAATTAAGATTGAAGTAACAAAGGATTATGGTCTGTGTAGCTGCATCAGTTTACTACGCCACTTCAGCAACAACAATAATGCTTTTTAAACCACTTTTTACATTGCGATTTTACAATATTGTCAATATTTTTAGTAGTTAGTAGTTTTTAGTTTTTAGAATAAGCTATCCAAATTGTTGTTTATATGCAATGTTTTTCTCTTCACAGAAATACACTTTTGTGGCTCTTATGACGGACATTCTGTACATTGAAGTAAAAGACAAATTTGCCAAAAGTCGGCCAATCATCAAACGCTTCCTGGGTCAGCTGACTATACCTGTGCAACGTCTTATCGAAAAAATACCTGGGTTTGTGATTTTTAAATGAATTAAAAGCTCCTGATTGCCTTAAAACTATTTGTAGTCATAGTTATTATTATTTATTTATTTATTTATTTTTTGACAGTGTTCAGCCTGTGAGTTTCTCTCTGTGTCGGCGTTTGCCCACTGAACATGTGAGCGGTCAACTTCAGTTCAAAGTGGAGCTCACTACAACAGGTTTGAATATTGTATTTATTCCTTTATTTAGTATTATTTAGTGAGTTATTCCTCCCATTGCTCTGCAGTCTGGCCATTTTATATAAGTGTGTATTAGCTTTTTCCTTGAAATAATATAAAGTAATGAAACAATTAACATAACTCCAATAACTTTATGAATTGTTTCTAGAATTATGAGCTAATAAAGTATAAAAACTCCCATTGTGCCTGTCCAGGTGCCTCTCCAGAGTCTATCATTGGTATTTCTGCTTTGAATGGAGCTCCTGGTACACCTTCTGATGATGAAGACCTGCCCCATCACCTCCCTGGAGTCTCCTCAGTTGCTCTATCCCCCACTGGCTCGCAGGGCTCTCCAGGACCATGGGACAGTGGAGGAGCATGTGCTTATCCAGAGAAAGACCCCTCTTTCCTGGGGGCAGAGAGCAGATTCACAACTCCCGAACCCTTGTCCACTCCGGAGGTTTTGCAGCGATCGTTTACCGAAGGGTTGGATGCAATTGAAGCACCAAAAGGTCTGTACTCTGCAAGATAACATGTCATTTTTAATCATTGTCACAACTGTGTATATCAGGGGTCTCAAACCTGTAGCTCTCCAAGGGATTTCTGAATTTTGTGTATTGTCCTAAATCAAATTTGATTAAATGCCTAACTGTGCACTAAAAAATAGATCATGTTTTATGTTTTATAGTCATCTAACTCTACCCCGTCTAAGGGTTGTCGTGACTCTTATGTGTACTAAATTTTTTGCAGCTGCTAAAAAGAGTAGCTCTGTGGCTTTTTCGTTTTGTTTTGGCTCTATTTAATTTATTTCTGTATACATTTTACATATTTTAATGGTACATTATTTAACATTTTTTTGTGGAGGGTCTGCTACCTGCTTCCATGGAGATGTCATTGCTTGTCTGAAATATTCCACACATGGCATTAAACCTTGTATCTTGTATTTATTGAATTAAAAGTGCTGTACTGCTCTAAAATATTGAAAATCCTGCTGTCTGGCTGTGAATGGGCTCGACTCTCCATTGGTCTGCCCTGTAACTTGGTGGTGTCACCTGCTTGTCTCTACGGAGATAGAAACTTTAAATATCCATTTTGGGAAATATTCCAGGCAAAGCAATAACCTCACCATGGAGACAAGCACATGGCAGATTGTTAATGTTTTTCTTTTTTGCTCATTCATTAAGAGGTGACAATAAAAATACTTTTGATCTGATCTTAGGTCCTGGGGAGAGACCTTTGGGTGCTGCATCACCCAAATTACACTCCAGTTTCCCTACGCACACACGCCTTAGCGCTATGCTACATATTGATTCTGATGAGGATGAGGAAAGATCCGGGGCTAACGATATACCCCCTGTCCCACTCTCACCTTTGCTGCTAAATGGGGTCCCACCTGAAGTCACCATTCCCGAAGAGGAAGACCCTTTTCCGGACGTGGAATCGGACCAACTGGTGGTCTCAATACCCCAAGATGGCGCTTTGAGTCCTGGGATAATCATGGGTAGTATTAGTCCTATGTTAGAAATAGTCCCAGACATGGGGGGCCTAGATGTTGATGATGCACTTGAGGTAGATGTGTTTTCGGAAGCGGAGGAGGCGCCCTTTGCAGAGGCGGTATCCCAGAATGCTTTGCAACAGGGCACAGAAACACAAGAGGAAGTGAGAGGAGCAATTGAGGACCAGTCTTCAGAGATGGATTCCATGGAAACGGCGCAACAGACGGTTTTCTCAACATCAGATAGCTGTCCAGTAACGCTGACTACAGCTGTGGTGAGTTCTGCGCCTTAGGTCTACATTATATTTTTTCCCTTTTGTTTTTCCTTCCAAATTATGAGCTTGGTGGACACATGAAGTACGCAATCATAATTAAAACACATTAACTTATACCTGTTGTGACTTGGACTAGTGGCCTGTCCATTTGTACTGCAGCAAAGAATCATCTGTAGCCCACAAAGCATTTTTCCAGTAGTGCGCAAAGTAAAAATGAATTGCTCGTGACTGGCTGACAAGGCACCTACAGCTATCAAAAATGATAGATTTTATGGCGATTATTGACTATTTTCAAATCATTCAATCAAAAAATCTTCATTTAAATTCTTCAGCAACGAAGGGAGTTTTAAGAATTGGCCATGCATTGCATTATTGCAATATTAGAATTCCCACTTAACTGCCTGCTGACGACTGCTAGTCTTATTAAAAACAACGTAACATATGTTTATATATTTATATTATACAAACTGCATGTCTAGTTTTCTAACTAAAGACTGCAGTGGTGCACATTTAGTTTCAAACACTTTTGACTTGTTAGATAAATGATAAAAGCGTCACAATTTGCCCTTTACGAACCCACTGGGATGCTTGGGTTTTGACCCTCGGAGGCGACTGTACTTTGTCATTGCAGTGGAGTTTGAAGCAGTACAGTAAAGAAAAGTTTAAAGGTACAATTAAACAACAGTGTCAGCTTTTCTGTAATGAAAGTCAGACTATTCTATTCAAATGTTTCAACTTTTGACAAAATATTGTTGCATAGGTGTGATGAGCTACATTTACTGAGTAGTACCTGACTGTCTATGTGATCACTAATACTAATGTGGTTATTTTACATGCAAATTCAGTATTTTTATATGAAATAGCTTTTTACTTTCATTAATATTTATCCAGAACGGTAGAGGCATCCCTGTAGTGACATTATAATGTAGTGTTTGATATTATCAGAGGTAACAGCCCCTGCTGTGCATTATCCTTCAAATGAGATCTCTGCTGGATTTGGCCTCCTACTGTTTTTAAATGTTGATATTTTGGAAATGATTCAAGAGTAACATTTACAATATGAGAGTTTCACCAGAAGCTTCTTTTGGCATTTGGCATGTAAACTGTCCTACTATGTGTACAATTAGAGATGTTTAAAGGGAAATTAAGTGATGTACTTTATACTTTATAACATTGTGCATAGTCAGACCTGTCACGATAACACAGTTGAAGTATGATATATTGCTACAGAGAAATACTGCAATAAATGATAATATGGAAACTACTTTATGCCACTGATACAATAACAATAAAGCAGGATAACCCAGTGAACTGTTTATTTAATTTTTAAAAATGTTTTATATTGTATCATTAACAGGCCTAAGCTTCAACAAATAAATAACAGAATGAAGCAATAATTAGCTATAGAAGATACTTATTCAACCCTCTACAGCTTAAATCTTATCATAGTACAACTAAAACATGGGTGTTCAAATTAAGTGCTTCCTACAGAATTGGCCCAAATGATTATAGGCAATACTTTTTGCTTGAAATGTAAGTGTACAACTTTAACCTCAATACCATCACATTCTATTCTTATACGGGCCTAAAATTTGTATTCAAATACATTTTGAAGATACAATGGCTTTGTAAAATCTATGTAAAATGCTTCCATCTGAAAGACTAGTAGCCTTCAAGTTTTGACACCCCTGAACTAAAATAACAAAACTCCCCACTACAGCAAAGAAATGTACACACGATAAATATTGAACTCAGTGTATTAAGCATGATAATAAGTAGACTGTTAATAAGTAGATTAAATGTTGTATTCATGAGTTTCAGAATGATGAAAAACTATATTTTGAATGGTGAAAAGTCCTTGAAATGTTGCCTTTAAACAGGAAAATCCATGAACAATTAATGTTGTCAAATAGATGAATTAATAAAATTTTCTTTGTGATGTTTTTAGGAGCCAGAGGAGGGAGCAGAGGCAGCCATAGACCCAGGGGGAGAGGGAGTGTCCCGTGCTCCTCCAGACCCTCAGGACATTGGGGCAGAGGGATCCGGGGTGGTCCCGGAGGCAGATGGAGCAGAGCTGTCTGTGAGCGGGCGACTGGAGGAGGTGGAGGTCATCACTGTGAGGAGGCTGAGTCTGCAGGCCACAGGGGGAGGAGGGGGAGGGGAGGGGAGAGAGGAGCAGGAGCGACCGGACCCCAAACCAGAGGAGGAAGGGCCGGCTGCAGACAGTGAAGCCAATGCGGAGACTGACGGTGATGAGGGTACGTTCATTACCAATGTGCAAAAAGGAATTGTGAAATGTCAAAGTAAACATTAAAGGGCCCATATTACGATAATAATAAAGGGTTATTGAAACATGTGTGATTGAAACAAAACACAGCCCCAGGTATTTTTTTTGGGAAGGTTACAGCATTATAACTTGGCTTAAAGCTCACAAGAGTCAATTTTATGTAGTATGGGATCTTTAATGTTACATTATTGGTAAATAATGTAAAATAAATAAAGCGAGAGATACTGATATGGGCTTTTGTTTAGCTAACACAATATCCAATTGGTCTTGCTGTTGCACAAATAAAGTGAAGTTGTAATTAAGTTCACAAATTGCTTTTCCTTAAAAATTATCACAAAATGTGTGCATTTTTGTCCTGTGGTTGTTTACCTTTCAATCCTAATTAGAATAGGGTGTGATTGTATGAGGAAACTAAAGGGTAAGGCAGACAGGAAACCAAGCTTTTGTCGATCTGCAAGTAATAGCAGTGTGATTGATGTTTAAATGAACAATGTACCCAAATGCACAGCAACTCTTCTGTGAAAATAAGACTAAGCCACATTTGTTATTATGTAATTTTAATTTTAAAAAAAAATGTTGTGTCCCAGGTTCCCACGTAAATGGTCACCCAGTGCGCTCCCTCCCGTCAGTTCGACAGGATATCCACCGATACCAGCGAGTGGACGAGCCTCTGCCTCCGAGTGAGTGTGTGTGTCTGCATGCACCGTCGTGTTTATATCTCTGTTTGTGTGTCTATTCTAATGCACTATACTAACCCTTCTGTTATTATGTTTTGTCTGTTTTTATGTTAGTGTTATACATGTCACAATGTCTCTTCTAGAAAACAGGCATATTATTTATGCCCATTCTCACAGGCATATAGCATTTCTAATTCTTTAGTATAATACAAAATATATATGTATTGCAAAAATGTGGAAAACTAGATGAAAAATTTTATGCATGTACTCATTTACAGGTGTCTTTATTGCTCAAAAAACATGTGTTCTCATCATGAGTGGAGTCGCCTCTCCATAGATCTGACCTGTAACCATCTGGCACTGGCACTTGCTTGTCTTCACGGATATAGATAGTGTCGTTCTGTTAGACATATCTGCAATAATATCCCAGTGTAGACAAGCAGCTGGCAAACCCTGCACTAAAAAAAGTGACATAGTGCACCTTTATTTGTGCAATTGACTGCTGTGTGACTGCTGCCTGTGCTCTCAGACTGGGAGGCTCGGATCGACAGCCATGGCCGGCATCTTCTTCGTGGACCACGTGAACAGGACCACCACGTGGCAGCGCCCCACTGGCCCCCCCGCTCCACAGGGTCTGACCCGCTCCAACTCCATTCAGCAGATGGAGCAGCTCAATCGAAGGTCTGTCAGGAAAAAAAAAAAAAAGTTTCAGTGTTCCCCTTAAAAGCCTTTGGCAGCAGTACCAGTATAAATGGAGTTGCTTTGTTCATGATAGCAATGTTAAATTTCTTGTCCTCAGATACCAGAGCATCAGGAGGACCATTACCAACAGTGACCGATCCGAGGAGAGCTCCGTGGACCTTCTTCCTGAACCAGAATCAGAACTATTGCCACATTCACTCGCTGGTTTGTGATAAACTTAAACAGTTTAATTCAATATTTACGTTTAAGTTTTTAACTAGTTTTGATGGCTCTCAGACTTGATGAATTGACCCAAATTACCATAAGCAGTTGTTTTATATATAAAATTCCTTCGATTAACCTCAAAAACAAAGATTTTGGTGTGGGACAAACCACGCATTAAGGTTCCAAGCCTGACTTACATACTAATGGCCATAATTGATTTAGAGCATACAGGCTATTGCTCTCAACCTCAACTTGAAGCATCAGCATTGATCAAGTTACAGTGTCAACATTTCATACTACTAATAAAATAGACAAAAATGAAACTTGTTGTTCCATGGTCTATAGGGGGGAGGTATCATTAAAATGATGTCAAATAAGTTTTAAGATCATCTGAAAACTCAACTCACTTAACTGTGGTTAATTCAAGTGTTCATGGTTCTGTTTTGGTGTTAAATGATCAACCTAAAGGTGAGAGTGACTTACTGAAAAACTGTTGGCTAATTCTTGTGACTGTAATGTTATTTGAGAGGGGCTTATGGTAATTACAGTTTAGCAAAGCCTCAAACAGAGCAGAGCCTACAGTTAGCATCACATACCCAGGGAATTTTTGTGACTTCAGCTGCAAAGTATGAATATAGCTCCATACAGTACTAGGAGATAGAAATCAATAAATAAATATGAAAAAATAATATGTTATTTCTTTCTCTTTGACAGAGTACAGGAGAGAGAGTGGTGTGGCTCACTCCAGCGCGCGCTCTCGTCTGTCTCTGCTGCTTCAGTCGCCCAGCGCAAAGTTCCTCTGCAGCCCCGACTTCTTCACCGTGCTGCATTCAAACCCCGTCAGTATCTTTGAATATTTCATCACTTTAATATATAATTCACAGTGTAATTACCAAAAATGTCCTTTCTATTTCCAGGACTGAGACAGGGCCTAAGTGACATTCTGAGTATAATTAGTCGTAGCTAAATACATTGCACGTTGAAGCTTACACTGAGCTGTATTCACTGCCAAAATATCACAAAATGGCTCATGTGTTTGGCTCATTTTTTCTTCTAAGTGTTAAAGGTCCTATATTATGCAAATTTGACTCTTATAAGCTTTAATCCATGTTATAATGTTGTTGCCTCCTCAAAAATATACCCAAAGTTGTGTTTTCATTGATTCACACGTTTGAGATATTCTTTATTATTAGTCTGTCTACATCTCAGAGCTCAAAATGCTCTGTTCCACCTTGTGATGTCATGAGTTAACAGTTGTCTTTTACTTTTTGTTTTGAGACTGGCAATTCCAGGGCTGAAATTGTTCAAATAATTGGAGTGAAATATGAAATGACTATATTTAGATTATCACTACTTAGTTTAGTCACACTTTCCAATAACTAGACCTTAATAAACCTTAATAAAGCATTAACAAAGACTTAATTAATAATGAACAAATAGTATATTACACATTTTTAGGCATAAGTTAGGAGTATCACACAGGAGCCTGAATCAGTCTTTGTTCATACTTTATTGAAAGTGTATTTAGTGTTGCCAAAAGATTATTCAAATTCTTTCAAGTTTAAAATCTCAAAGGTCTTAATGTTTAAGAAATGTGACCTTGTATGTTACCCTTTTTTAAAATTAACATGAGTTAATGACCATGAAAATATCTTGATTCTCAGACTTTGGCATTGAAACTTTGCAGTGACATCATGATAGGGGTTTTCTATATGTATCTCTATTGGGGAATGTTCAGCGGTTGCCACAGAGACACGCACGAATCAGCTCATCTGTTGTAGTTCCAGCTAAGTTCGTTATTTCTGGTCAGACGGTGTTAAAACAAACTTCTGATTAAAGTCTAACAGAGCCTCAAACAGAGCAGAGCGTCTAGTTAATGTCACACCCCCAAGAAATGTTGATGACATCAGCTGCAAAGTGTCTATATCTGTACCGTTTGAAGCTAAATGCATTGTTTATTTATTTCTCCTCCTCCCTCCCCTTTTGCCAGAGTGCCTATCGCATGTTTACGAGTAACACCTGTCTGAAGCACATGATCAGTAAGGTTCGGCGCGATGCTCACTACTTCGAGCGTTACCAGCACAACCGAGACCTCGTCACCTTCCTCAACATGTTCTCCAACAAACAACTGGAGCTGCCCCGAGGCTGGGAGATGAAGCATGACCACACAGGAAAGGTACAGTGCAATATTTAGGGTTTGTGTGCTTAAAGGTGCACTACGTAACTTTTCTTGTTGGGGATCTGCCACTATGGAGATGCTATTGCTTTGCTTGGAATGTTCCACAATATGGTATTGAACTTATTTAACATGCATTTATTCAGTTATGGATACTTTAATTGCTCAAAACTATCTTCAAGAACATACTGTTTTATTACTATATCTAACTGTGAACTGTGTCATCTCTTCACAGATCTGACCTGTAAATTGGCCTGATAGCATCTCCTACTTGTCTCCATGGGGGTTAATAACTTAAAATGTCATACTTTTGAACATTCCAGGCAAAGCAACAAAATCTTCAGGAAAACAAGCAACTGGCATGCTCTCTACTAGAAAAGTTAACATTTAAGATTTAAGAATCTAGGGCTGGATGATCTGGTGAAAAAATCTAATTGTCATCTAATTTTGTGCACTTTTGCACTATTTACATTTATTATTTATTTATTCACATGGGAGCGTGAAACACAATTGCGATTTTTTACATGTTTTTCACATGAAACATTTTTTACAATTTTTTTTAACTTTGAACTTTAAATTCTGTGAGAATTAGCTTTTTTGGTAAAACAGATCATACAGTGGTTCACTCATTTTCTGTTAAATTTAGCTCTCTGCTTAAAAAAAGACACTTTTCTTCACCCACTTCTCCTATTGGTTAACCTCTATATGTTCTGAGTGACTGACAGGTGGATTTAACCAGTCACAGTGAAGTGTCAACCTTCTGGAGAAACAAAACACTTTCCTCTCTTCACTCTTCAAGGCAATATAAAGATTATAGGTGTTGATGATTTGTGATAAAACCTAAATCTGACTCCAGGAAAATTGTGAAAACCACTAAAATGCCTACTTTGACTTCTGTCCTTTGATGTTTGTGTAAATGGAATGGTGGGCTATTACTCTCAGAGACAAAACAACTGAACTGTTCAATTATCAGCATGTGCAGTATTGTGCAGTAGCCTACTTTCCAGTTTATTCAGGTCATTTCTTGACTGGGTTCATTGGTTTATATTAAGTTGTTTCTGAAAGTGTGATACCCTTTGGTAAACTCTGCAGTTATGAATGAATGGTGTTAAAACACTTGTCTTTTGCTAACACTATAGTTATTTGAGACTTGAGTCTTGGTCCTGTTCCTCAGCCTTTCTTTGTGGATCACAACTGTCGCTCCACGACCTTCATCGACCCGCGGCTGCCACTCCAGAGCTCACGATCCACCGGGCTCCTGGCCCATCGCCAACACCTGAGCCGCCAACGCAGCCACAGTGCCGGAGAGGTAACGCTAACACTCATCTACTGTCATGGACTCTGAGCCTCTGTTTGGGACATTAGGGGCAAAATAGACTTAGGATTGTGTTGTTGAATTGCAACAAATTTCCAGTAAGCCTTAAAGAGTACTAATTAGTTACTAATGGAGAAGTAGCATTCACTTCACAAACTATGTCTATGTTCACAATCCCTTTTATTAAAATCTAGATTTGTATTTTTTCATTATCCAAAAATTGTAATTGATCAATCTGAGGAAAATAATTAAGAATGTTTTGTCGTATTGCCTAACCTTATGGCTGACCACTGGGTTTAGTTATTGGGACAATATAGTAGAGACAGTATACACTACCTGAGAGTGGTCAATGCTAATCTACTCTAAACTCACACAGTAAGCTTTCTACATGCTATGTTTAGATGCACTACATATTAGAGGCTGCCACAGAATCAATACTTTGTTTACATGGCATAGTAAAGGTATAATGCAGTTTGCTTGGTCCTTGTTGTCCTTCTTTTGTATAGTAGGATGGAGTAATTCATTTAACCATTTATTTCAAGGCAGTAATTCACTTGATTCAAATGTGTACGTTCATTCTTGGGAAAAAGAAATGAACTGTGGGAATTATGTTAAATACCAGTACCAGTAAAGAACAAAGGAATTGTCAATGTAGAATCCTCAAGAACCACTATGTAGCCTGCTTGTCTCCATGGACATGCTTCCATTGTGTGGCATTAAACCTATCCATGGAGAAGAGCATATAATCCCATTAGGCCAATTTACAGGTCAGATCTGTGGAGAAGTGACCCTGCACACTATAAAAATGCATGAATAAATGACTGAATAAATGCATGGTAGATATGGTTAATGCCATACTGTGGAACATTTCAGGTATCTCCATATCATTTTTATAGACAAGTAGGTGGTAGACCTTTCACCAGAAAAGTTACGCAGTACCACTGCACCATTTCACGTATATAGTGTCACAGATATAGTGACCAAAAGAAACACATTAAACGAACAGTGCTCTTATAGTTCAGTTGTGTGTTGTTGTCTGTCTGGAGGATTGAGGGCAGAGCTAAGATGCGAGCTGAGCTGTAGTCTGTGCTGTGCTCTCAGGTAGTGGATGACTCTCGACAGACCAACCCCCCCCTCCTGCCCCGCCCCTCCAGCACCTTCAGTGGGTCCAGTCGGAGCCAGTACCACGACCTGGTGCCTGTTGGTCAGTCACTTTGTTAATGTTTTTTGTTAAGTATTGTGAGAAAACCTTTACTGATCGCAATCTAATCGAAATTGTAATTTGAATGGACATATTACCAAATCACAAAGGCTGCAGTCTTTGAAGTACCATCATATCCTCCACAACCAATTTATCTTAAGGAGTTTAGATATGAAAAGTGATTTCAGTTCAAGATTTCAGTGAACGGAATCCTATTTTTTTAAAACATAAATCACAAGAAAAACAATTGCAATCGCAATGCTTATCAGAGAACTCACAATTAGATAGTTTTCTGTAATTGTGCAGCCTTAGTTGCAATGCAAGAACTACAGACTGAGATTACATGTTTCTCTCCATGTTGTTGGGTTTCCTCCAGGCACACTGGGTTCCCCCATCAACCCAGTTAAGGTAGTTCTGACCAAGACAAACTCATGATCAGGAGATGGGTTCCCACTGCTCCTGAAAGACTGTCCCCGTGACATTGAAGGATGGGTCAAATGCAGAGGACAAATTTCTCAATAACATGTATCTTAATCATAACCTAAAAATTTGCAGTAGTCTGTACTGGTTAAATTGACTGATACATGTGGAGTCCTTTTTCACTCCATCTTGGTGTGGTCTTGGTTTAGTTATGTTTTTGTTCTGGTTTTGTCAGCAAGCCAGTTTGAATTTTGTGTAATATTTTTATTTATTTATTTTTTCTCTATAGCCTACAATGATAAGATAGTTGCGTTTCTACGGCAACCCAACATCTTTGAGATCCTGCAAGAAAGACAGCCAGAGCTCGCCAGAAATCACTCACTCAAGTACAGCTTTTATTCACTCTATAAATGTCTAAACTAAAAATTCAACCTTAGACACATTTTTGTACGTGCAACATTTAAACTTTTCATCAGTTTTATTTTTACGTCTGAATTTCACAGGGAGAAAGTGCAGTTCATTCGCAGTGAAGGGGTAAACGGATTGGCGCGTCTCTCAAGTGATGCTGATCTAGTCATGTTGTTGAGGTAAGAAATAATGGATTTAAATTTATTTCAGAATGTATGGAATTACTTTATAATAACAACACCTTAATAGTAATTATAATGATTCAGGCCGGGTCACTACTTATTTAGCGACTGGTGTTCGGACATTAATTAAGAAATGATTAATCTTTCAATCATTCTTGTTAATTCCGAATTAGGACTTTGTTATTGCTTTATATGATTTATTATAATGTATTTATTTTTCACAAACCAAATTTGTATGACATAATTACTAAATCTGTTTGCATTTTGTGTCTGCAGTTTATTTGAAGAGGAGGTCATGTCATATGTGCCACCGTTACTTCATCCAGGTTACTGCCTCTCGTCCCCTCAAAGCTCCCCTGGTAATCCTGTCTGTCTGTGTGTCTGCAATAAGGTCACTGCTGTACCCATACCATATAGAAAGTATAAGAACAATACTTGATCTGGTTTTGGTCTTGATCTGGTATGTTTTTCTCATAATTTCATTTTTTTATAGCTTTTCTGTGCATTAAGGGTTTAGAGATATCACAATGAGTTAAATTTGCAGTCATATTCTATTCTAAAATCTACAGAGACCTTAAGTACATCCTCATACATATCTATAATACTCTGCATAATTATAATTTTGATACAGTATTTTATTTAGGGGATCTTGAACTTTTCAAAGCCCCAAAATAACCATGCAACCAAGCCAGGACCCACACAGCAATCAAGACATTAAGATCATGTTTAAAAACATTTATTTTAGAAGACATTATTTGACCCATTTTCACACATGTTTTTAGTTAAAAGATAGATTGAATATTCTTTTTTTTTTTATTATTATTTTGAAATCATCTTTCCACCCCCAGCTCAATCCCAGCTCTCAATGTAGGCACCTTTGTTTTAACACAGTATTCTTCTTTCTTCTTTGCTCCCTCGTTTGTTTTACAGGGACCCAAAGAGCCAATGCCCGTGCCCCAGCTCCATATAAGAGAGATTTTGAGGCCAAGCTCAGAAACTTTTATCGAAAATTGGAGACGAAAGGTTATGGCCAAGGCCCTGGGAAAGTCAAGTAAGTTTTTTGCTTCTTGCTTTTTGCTTAAAATCACAAATAGTAAAGCTGTCGGGGGTAAATATTCTTTCCTTTTACATTATAGCATGTAATAATTCATAGTCAAATGAAAATTTTGTAACTAGTATTTTAAAATTTTCAATACAAAAGTCAATATATTGTTAAAACATGTTGTACAAAGTTTCTGTTTTTAAGGACATTTTTTGTTTGGGTTACATCATGTTTTTGTTTCTATGCTTCCAGACTAATCATTCGCAGAGACCACCTTCTGGAGGACGCCTTTAATCAGATCATGTGTTACTCTCGGAAAGATCTACAGAGAAGTAAACTCTACGTCAGCTTTGTGGGAGAGGACGGGTCAGTTAATCACTGGCATTGTGTAACTAAATATGTCAGACAAAAAGGTTGAAGTAAAAAATTTGAAGCATCTTTATAGAAAGTCTTAGGAATTTACATTGAATCATCAGATAAAAATATAAATAACCAAAGATTAGAATAGCATAGTACAAGCTCCTCTAATTTGACACTTAAAGGTACACTATGTAACTTTTCTGCCACCTGCTGTTATTGCTCTGCCTTGATTGTTCACAGCACACTTTTAATTAAATAAATGCAGATAAAATAGGTTTATACCATACGGTGGCATATTTCAGGCAAAGATAAAGCATCTCCACTGAAACCAGAAAAGTTAGATAGTACACTTTATTTTCATATAAAAATAATAATTAATAGCTTCTTATATTTCGGCATAAAGATATAAATACCTTTATCTCTCTCATTATCTCTGCAGCCTGGACTACAGTGGCCCCTCGAGGGAGTTCTTTTTCCTGGTTTCTCGGGAGCTGTTTAACCCGTACTATGGCCTGTTTGAGTATTCTGCCAATGACACGTACACGGTCCAGATCAGCCCCATGTCCGCCTTTGTTGACAACCATCACGAGTGGTGAGATCACTGTTGCCCATAGTATTTGTTATTTTTTCGCTAATTTTATTTCATTCAGCTCAGCAGTTACCACCTGCTTCCAAGAATACATTTTTTATTTATTCATTTTCCCCATAGACCTTTTGAAAAAAAATGTATTATTTTAGAGTTCAAAGGCCTCTAGGCTAACAAATATCCATGACGTTTTAAGCACATTTAAAACATAAGACTCGAAAAAAATATATTTTAATAACTTGGCAGTTTATAAAGTTTTAGAAACAGATTTTAAATAAATGTATAGGGCTTGTGGTCATTAGTTACCACGTAGACCTGAGTTTTCCAACTATTAATATTATTTTTGTTCATAAGAAACTCTATGAGATAAATGGATGAGTAATATCCTTCGGAACCGGGGGGTGGGGGGTCACTGTTGAGATTCATTTGTTTAGTATAAATGCCACTTACTGCCTATATTTAAAACACTGGGTGAGATGTCTGCTTGCTCTTTAGATTTAAGAGGACCAATCATCTTATGCCCCCTGATGCCATACTGGACCTAATAGCTAATTTAAACAAATGCAAACTCCAAAGGAAATATAACATAACTGCTTAAATCATCAGTATTTATTTTTTAGGAGATTCTTAGTTTATTAACTGTTTATTCCCTTTATAAGTCTGTGAAAAGCCATGGAAAAAGCCTTTAGATAGAACCTTTATATTGTAATTAAATTGTATAGTTTATTATTAAAATAATACAAATCATGTCAATATTCTAAATATAACATAATAAAACTAAACATAAACAATTATTTAAGATTTTCACAACTAATTTAATAATGAATTTTTATTTCACATGTTAATTCTCCACTGACATCTCTCCATTGTATTTGAGTCTGGAGGCTGCATGGAAATAAATCCAGCTTAGTTGAGGTAATAAAAGCAGAAAGTCAATTTTAATGTTGTACAAACGATTTAAGAGGATGCGTGTTCTGCTTGTTGACTCTGCATGTGTTTGATGTTTTGTTATTAAAATGAGTTGATGTATTTTGCCTTTCTCTCTCTCTTTCTCACTCTCTCTCTGTCTCTCTCTGTCCCTCATTCTGTCTCTCTATTTCCCTCTCTTCTTCTCTCTTATCCATTTCTTTCACTCCCTCCCATCTCTCTCCCTCTCTCCTCATCCTCTCTCCAGGTTCAGATTTAGTGGGCGGATCCTGGGGTTGGCTCTTGTCCATCAGTACCTCCTGGATGCTTTTTTCACACGACCGTTTTACAAAGGACTCCTGCGCATGTAAGCCCTGACACGCTTGTCAAACTATACAAACAATAAATAGAAGTATAACAATGAAATAGCAAAAGCATGCATACATTCTATGAGCCTGAGATCAACATGTTTATCATAACAATAGTCCAGCAAAGGAAATTATCAATACTAAGTTTTTTTGCATTAAGTTAAAGGTACAATATGTAACTTTCTGGAGGTGGCATGTCACCCATGGAAATAGAAAGTTAAAACCATACTTTGGAACATTCTGCATGGAGATTGAGAGGTATTATGCCATGTTGGGAAGATTATAGCCAATGGAACAACAAAAGTTGGATTTGTAGAGTTGCAAGCCCAACACATGTTTCATACCTTTTTCAATATAAAAACATCCAAAATTATAAATTATATACTGTGCCTTTAACTAATCATTTGAGAGTTGTGTGATTAAAGCCAATTTAATTTGACAGAAGATAGAACTTTTTGTAGCAAGTTAACATCATTATATACCTTGTTGATGCAGCCCGTGTGACCTGAGCGACCTGGAGTTCCTGGATGAGGAGTTTCACCAGAGTCTGCAGTGGATGAAGGACAATGACATCGAGGACATGTTGGACCTCACCTTTACTGTCAATGAGGAGGTCTTTGGACAGGTGCATGGAAAACTAAACTAGATTTTCATAACTTAGTTATTAAAGCTACCATCTGCAAGTTTATTTGATTTTATTTTCACCAGCCAATGGCAGATGTGAAACCTGTTCCTATAGCAGTAGCGTAGATAGCTAAATACAGACAGCTTCAATTCTTAAGATTTCAGTTTTCCAAATTATATTATTATCCTGCCACTGTCAGGAAAATTACTTGTTTGAAGCTAGTGAATAAAAAATGAATGTCTGCTTGTCTGCTACTTCCTAGTCTCCCTATATCTATAAAAATACTTTGAAAAACATGCATTCTTATGCAAGCGAGGTCGCTTCTCTGCAGATCTGACATGTAACTTGTTCACCTTCATGGACTATGTAAGTGTAATGACAAATTATTTAACATCTTAGGCAAAAGAAAAACATCTCCATGGAGACAAACTAGTAAATAAATCCCGATTAATATTCTGAAGTCAATTAGAGTAATGTAGATTTTGCCTTTGTGCCAAATAGACTCTTAAATGTATATAAATGTATTTGCCGTTGTTTAGATCACAGAGAGAGAGTTGAAGCCGGGCGGCGCTGGGATCCCTGTGTCAGAGAAGAATAAAAAAGAATACATTGAGAGGATGGTGAAGTGGAGGATCGAGAGAGGAGTGGCCCAGCAGACGGAAAGCCTGGTCAGGGGCTTCTATGAGGTACAAAACATGACACTGTGTTTTGATGTAGCAGCAGTTTTAATAGTTTAAATGTTTTACACATTACATATTACATTATTTTCTGATCTATGTTATAATGTTGTCATCAGAAATATACCTTGAATTGTGTTTTGTTTCATTCACACATGTTTTACACACATTCTGCATATTTAGGCTGAATTCTTCTTTCAAACTGAAAACATTCTTTTCCTTGATCTTGTGATGTCATTTGATAATACAGGAAGTGCTCCAGAAGTTGTGATTTATTTCACACATTCACACATGTTTGAGTAATCATGCATTATTAGTCTGATTAAATCTCCAAGGCACAAAATACTCACAATATGTTCCACACTGTGATGTCATGAAGCGATAGTTTCCATGTTAACAGCTGTCTTTTGCCTTTTGTTCAGTAGAGATTGGTATTTCAAGAGCTGATATTATCCAAAAGATTCTAGTGAAGGTGCTTCATCACAAAGTGGAACAGAGTGTTTTCTGTTTGAGAAAAGAACACCTAAATATGCAGAGTTTGTGTGTTAAAGATGTGTGAATGATGTCTGTATGTTTGTGATGAGGAAATAACATTATAACATAAGAAAAAAGTGTAATATGGACCTTTAATATAGGATTTGTGGCACTTGCTTGATGAAATAAAACAAACATTTTATGTGTCCTGCTATATTTTTGGTGCATTATTATCCAGCTAAACATTAGAATTAAGAAATTTATATTATGTGGATACTAAACTATGCAAGACAGTTTTCTAACAAGGTCCTGATGTGACTCATGTATAGTTGAGGTTGCAAATGCAGTCCACGTTTGCTAAGTTTGGATAGATACATGTAATCTAAATGAGTTTCTTTTGTGCTTCTGTAGGTGGTGGATGTGCGGTTGGTGTCTGTGTTTGATGCTCGTGAGCTGGAGCTGGTGATCGCAGGAACAGCTGAAATCGACTTGTCAGACTGGAGGAACAACACAGAGTACAGAGGAGGTACAAAGAGAACATATGACTAAGTACAAGAGATACAACTACAGTGTGTTAAAATGCAGATTGTTGTTATAATCCAGTGAAATCTAATAGAAATGATCAGGTTCAACATTAGTGAATTTACCTTTTAGATATTTCAACAGAAAATACAGTGTAATAATTAATAGGAAAATCTGTCTCTTACCCCCCATCGAGAAGTATAACAGCATCACATTCGAGAATCTGAAAACTACCAGTCAGGTACAAAGGTACAGAGGTAGGACCAAAATATTGCTATTAGTCCAGATAAGTAAACAATAAAATAAATAATAATGAATAATAAGTAGTAGTCAAGTACTTTTTGCAATTGTGACATAGATCCTAGCTCAAGATTTAGACATGGTCCTAGGTGCTCCAAAGTCTGTCTTGCCCCATGAAGAGATATAATTTTTAAGCACTTCTAGCTGCATCTAATTATAAATTGATTTATTGTCTATATATAAAATCAGGAGGTGTGTGGTCAGTATGCTAGCTGTTGTTAGCTTTACCATCATGGCAAAACTGAGAGTTGTGAAAAAGCTCATCACAGTGAATAAGTAGGATGCTCAAAATGCATAAGGTAAGTGAGGTTTAAAATAAATTAGTTCTGTTTTTCAGAATTTTAAGACAGTAAAATCAGGTACAGCTCCTTTAAGACATTGTTTCCCAAAGCAACTCTCAGGTGGGTCACAAGAGATTTTTTAGGTCGCTTTGTCACGATCTGCATGTTGGTCTGCAATATACAGTTCTGACATGTTGAAAGGTTAAGACACGCTCTGTATAATTTCTAATCTTTTTGTAATTATTTTATTGACTATTTTGTTCCAATATTGCTGGTTCAATTGAACATTGAAAAGAAAAAAAAAATATTGTTCAAATAGGCGACTTATGGATCCTTTTATTGCTGGTTCAACTACAGTTTTTCATTGTTTAAAACTTGAGTAATACTAATTGTTCAGAGAGACACAATCACTCAGTCAACAATTAAATATTCTTATTAAATATTGGTCAAATCTACCTTTAATATGGGTCTCCAGAAAAAAAAGTTTGTGGAAACACTGCTTTAAGGCACAAGTTAAAGGATGGAGTAAATGTAGAGGCTACATTTCTTTACAGAGCCTAGGACAATATAATATACGAATGTGAATACAAGTAAAAAAAAAAAACACATTTCTAACTTCTTACAAATAAGATATGATGCCACACACATCAACAAGTCAAATTATTCCTCTAGTGCTGCATGTCATTTTACAAATTTGTGATAATCACACTGAACACATTTGCAATGTTTTAATTACCACTCACAGATAGTTCTTACAGCATCTTGGAAAGATGATTAGCAAAACTGTTCATATGCACTTTTAATGGTCCTGGAAATATGTATTTATGTTTTAGCCCAATCACAACCAGTTCTTGGTTGCTTATTTGCAATCTCATTGTATCCAGAAACAGTCTATAGGTAATTATCTTGTGTGTTTTGAATAGTTCAGAGTTAAAGGAAATATTACACAAAATTGAGAAAAAACATACTTGGAGTTGTCGTTTGTTTCAATCATACATGTTTGAGCAGTCCTTTATTATTAATCTGTCTGCTCAAAATGCTCTGCAATGCTATATTACTCTAGCCTGATTCATCAGCTGGTTTCACTTCATGGAAACCATCTGGCCTTGCAGCATTAGATAGGAAGATAGGAACTTTTAAAATTTAACCAATAGCTGCTACTTGGTTGTGATGTATGTAATGCACCAGAACACTCAATGGTGTCCAAGTAACTGCCGGCACAACACAGCAGAGTGAACATGTCTGTCAATGATCATTATCGTTTCTGGGAGATGAACTTGTGAATTAAAGTTGCAATAAAAAAATGCAAAGTTTGTATTTGACAAAGGAGGTCCAAAGGAGGATAGCATATGTAGTCTGCAATCGCAACTCTGTTTGGTTCAGCTCTTCGCTGATTGGCCGGTGCGCGGTTTACAACTTCCTAGGTTCTTGCAAACCGCTATTCTGATTGCTGTCCTAGTCGTTGAAGAGAAATGAAATTGAGTGGAGGCACTAGGTGGTGCCAGCCTGGCATGTCTTTGATAAGGAAACAACATTACAGCTCAGCTTAGCTTATAGATCAGAAAATAGCTTAATATTTGCCCTTTAAGCAAATATTGAATCTGCAGAGGACCTCAGTTTGTGAAACACTGCAGTGCACTATGGTTGCACAATATTTTAATTTGAATGCAGGAGTATACAATTATAATACATACAGAGGACCAGGTGGGTTGAGACAATTGCTCAGTGAATTATGCAAAAATCAAAGCGACACTCACAACAATACATCCATTTCCAAAGATCATTTTAAAAGGTTTTTTGAGGTCAGAGCTCCAGTAATTGAACCTGGGCCAGAATCTTAGACAAAAGACTCATGCTCTCGAGCGCTTAGGAACAGTCTGGAGTTTTTTATTTGACCCAGTGACAGCTCCTTCTGCCATTAAACATTAAAGACCAGGGTCCATTGAAAAGTCACTGAGAGACACAACTTCTTATTTCAGGCTAATTTCTTTGTCGATGGGGTAAGAAAATCGCCCTTAGCTCATTACCAGATTTCCTGCTTCCTAATTCGTAATTACCTTGAAATCTATCAGAAAAGTTATTAAACAAGTAAAATAATTCTATTGTTCTCAGTTAAATCAAATGCCATAATATTCAAATCAACATTAAAAGTACCCTGTAACTTTTCTAGTGGAGGGCTCACCACCTGCTTGTTTCGTTAGAGGTGTTATTGCTTTGCCTGGAATCTTCCACAGTATGGCATGAAACAAATCTATTGCCATGGAGACAAGTGGGTTTCTAGACCTAGTTGTAAGTCTGATCTGTGGAGAGGTGACCCTGCACATGTTTTTTTTTTTTTTTTTGCAGTTAAACACTTGCAATTTCTTAAATGCAAGATAGATATTCCCGACAAGGAAAAGTTACTTAGTGCACCTTTAGAACAACACATAATATAGAAACTTTTACACTGGAAAATTGGTTGTTTTTATCATCTACTACTGCTACTACTAGTATTGTTACTGCATACTATTTTGATTCTATGATAGTGCAACTGGTAGTGATCAGAGCAGGTTGTAGGCACAGAATCGCTGTCACACCTCTGTCCTTTTGTCTTCCTGCGACTACAGCCACAGAAATGCATCAGGACCTTTTCTAAAATCATAGTTCAGAAATAGGAGCAGAAACACAGAGGGCTTATTTGTTATTCATCTGACTCATGCTCCTCCATCTTCCTCTCTCTCTTTCCTCCTCTTCCTCCTCTCTACAGGTTACCATGACAACCACATAGTGATTCGCTGGTTCTGGGCGGCGGTGGAGCGCTTCAACAACGAGCAGAGGCTGAGGCTATTGCAGGTATAACCGCGCTGATGCTGAACGAGACACACGTACTATAGATAAGTGCTGCCATCATGTGGACGGATAGGGATCTGCATGTGATCATTAGTAGCTTAACATCACTGGGTTTATTTACATGACCAGTAAAGATCAATAATCAGATAACAAACTAATTAGATGGAATATTGGTGTGTGTTGTGGTGGTGTCAGTTAAATACATTTTAGAAGTGATTTTTTTTCCCCTGTGCATCATTTGTTTCTTTAACAATTAACATACCAAAGAACAAACATGCCGGTTAGTCAACAAAAAGTAAAACAAGACCACAACCTAACCTAACCAACTATCCTTTTCTACATAAAAGTGTGGTGAGTGTGGTACTTCTCCTGATGTAAGGTATATAAAAAAAACAAATATAAAAAATCCTACAGCTATTAGCAATGGTGAAAACAACCTGCATAGGCTTATAAAGTCATGTCATGCCATAAGAGGGATCAGGACTGAACCAGGACTGAACCAGGAGGAGTAAACCAGGACCCAACCAGGACTAAACCACGACTAAAACAGGACTAAACTAGAACTAACCCAGAACTGAACCAGAGCTGAGTGCTGGGATGGGCATGGAGGTGCGCCTGCATAGACTGTCAGGTGACCGCAGGAGAAAGGACCGAGCAGAGCTCCGTGACCCACGGGGCTAAGCACAGCCGTTGCCCAATCATGCTTTGCTTTTCTCAAGTCAAAGATTAGTCCTGGTTTAGTCTTGGTTTAGTCCTGGTTTAAACCTGGTTTAGTCCTGATGTAGTCCTGGTTTAGACCTGGTTTAGTCCTGGTTTAGCCCTGGTTTAGTTCTGGTTTAGTCCTGGTTTCAGTCCTGGTTCATGTGTTGTAGTCTATGATTTATGTTCTGTAGGTGATTATGAATGGCGGTAATATTAATAATGTGATTCTGCATGATTTTGAGTAAAAAAAAAACATTGAATATTCCAGATTTTTACCGGGCTGGCACCTTTATGTATGTACTGAAAGTGATTTTTTTTTAAACAAATATCTTCATCAAATCGATGACGTCACAAATCGCGTACCCCCATTTAAAAAATCCCCAGTACACTGCTGTAAAAGTATAATTTCCTTCCTAAGAGTTGCCATATATTGTAACTAAGCTATTAAAAAAGAGGTGTAACTCTGCAAGAGAATCATGGTATTAACCCTAGCGGCTGGATTTTTGCTTAATTTGTATAATGGTAAAAAGGTTTCAAAAGTAGTCATCTGAACAGTGTTTTTGAATCAAGTTGAAAAGCTGTAGGTGGTGTGAATATTTATTTGTGTCTTCTTTTGTTTAGTTTGTCACAGGCACGTCCAGTATTCCTTATGAGGGCTTTGCTTCTCTTCGCGGCAGTAATGGACCTCGCAGATTCTGTGTGGAAAAGTGGGGCAAAATCACCTCATTACCCAGGTACAAATAAAACTCTGCCTATGAACTGAACTAACATTTGTGAGTTGGCACCAAACCCTCTGGCTTTCAAATAGCAATGAGAATAGTTGGGCTCTTGGCCTTTTGTTGCGTAGTTGATTAGCTTGTCGATGGTGTCTTAGTCGAAATTTTTATCAGGTGACTCATTATTATCTGCAGATTATAAAAGACTGATGTGGTCAACTGCAGAAAGAAGAGAGGAGTCAGTTAGCTAGAGATTTGGAATGAAATGTGCCTTTTTTCATACAAAAAAGCAATTCACTTGGGGTCAAATTGGATCATAGAAATAGTTTTGAGACTTTTATTTATGCCATGTCTCCACTTTTAATGGACCAGTCATCAGAGATTTTTTTTTGTAAATTAGAGCCGTAGAAAATAGGTCGGCTCCAATATTTTATAACATTATTTTCAGCAGTAGTTAGTGTCTTTTGTCTCTTTTTTACACAAATCTTTCCGTCTCTTCAGGGCACACACTTGCTTTAACCGCCTGGACCTTCCTCCGTATCCTTCGTTTTCAATGCTCTACGAGAAGCTTGTGACCGCTGTGGAGGAGACCAGCACTTTTGGCCTTGAATAACTCAGCGAGGTAAACTCACAAGAGAGAAGAAAGAGGAGAGACATGTTTAATTAAGACTGACTTTTTTTAGCCGAAATCACCAAAACCACTTCACATTTTCTGCCTTTTTACTTTTGACTTTCACTGATAAAAGACAGTGGAATTTTTTGTTTATTTTTCACTTTTTGTTCCTATTCGAGCCACATGTGCTTTGAGTTAACAGCCTTGGAATTACAGCTCTTCTTTTCCTCCTCGTCATCAAAAAGACAGATTTTTTCCCTTTTCCCCCCTCTTCCTGGACCTCAAAACTGTGTCCCATGTCCTCCTCTGGGCTGCAGTGGAATAAAGACCTATAATACACTCACACACACTTTACACTAACAAAAGCAGGACAAACTCAAATCTAAGCATTTATTTTTACAGTGCAGGTCAATATGATAAATGGTGAGACGCAAATGAGTTGATAAATCGGTTTTCAGATCAGATATACATGGATACTAATTTTGACGGGATTTAAAGATGATTGTACCGAACTAAGCTGTGATAGAATGTATGTAGTTAGATACACCATAAAATGTACATTAAAGGGCCTATACCAACCTTTTATTTCTTCTAGTTTGAGCATTGAAAGTATTGATCCGAAAATATTGCTATTTCGATTCTGACCGCGACCTGGCCCCAGATAAAGCGGAAAAAAATCTATGGAAGATACTGACAAGGTATCGAGAAGAGTATTGATTCTCGTGCAAAAACATGATTACTTTTTATCTTTTATTTTGATTTTGATTGAAGTGAATAATGATACTCTCTACACACCAAAGTAAAATTCTTTAAAATTCAATTAATTTTAACACAAAACTCATCAATACTGTGATCAAATCAATACTGAAACAAAAAACGCTGGTATCGCCAACCTTTTACTCCTTAAAAACATTATTATTTGACTGAACAATATTGCCTTACGTACATTTTTAAATAAATTTAGTTGAATGAGAACCATTTGGAAACAACTGCCAGTAACAGCCAGTTGTATGTAATCAGACTTTGTTGGATGTGAACCATTTGGAAACAGCTGTTGGTGATTATTCCCGACAGATGTTTCTCGTGGTTCAACATTAGAGTGAAATAAGGGATTAAGTGGGCGGGGCTTAAAGTTCATTACATCTTTATTTATGGTTCAGGATTGGGTACAGGCCCTTTAAAATGCTATCACCTTATTTTTCAGTATAAACCAATGAATTTTGATGTTGATTTTGATGTAAAACTGCATTAGAATGGACTACAATAAGGAAGTACACCTGAAGGTTTATCACAATTTAATAATTTTACACAAATAGTATAGATTTCATCATAAACATTGTATTCTTTGAGTTACTGGATAATGAAGCTTAATCAAGTAGAACCAGTAGCATATGAATGTCATGGATAACCTCATGGGGGCACCAGAGTTTAGTTTTTATTCTAACAGCACATAAAAGAGTGTGATGTTTTCAATACTTTATCGCCTTTAAGGAAGATAATAATATCAACCTATTTACGTTACAATATCAGCAAAAGTTAGTGCACAAACTCACACACGTTTACAGACACACAAACACAGTATTTTCTATGGGTGCATGCAAGATTACACCTTCTGTACAAAGTCTTATCTGAGCTAGACCGCAAAAAGAACTGGGAATAGTTAGCTAAAATCAAATTAGCTAAACATTTCCACTCGTCTTTAGCCCAAACCTTCTGCATGTGACTCTCTGGGGGTCCTCCTGGTCAGCTCTGTGAGTTGGCCTAAGGAGGTAACACTCCTCTAGGTGGCGTTGTGTCATAGCTCGATATTGCATGCTGAAATTGTGTCCTTACTAGCTTTTTGCATGAGGATATCGCCGTCCATCAGAACAAATGAGCAGGTCATATTGTGTCACTTTACATTGAAGCGTGCTGCTAAAGAGAAACTAACCGTATACACTAATCATAATCAGAGGTGGGGAGGGTGAGAGTTATTTTAATTTACTTATGGCATTCAGTCATTTTTTGGCCTTTTTATTTATCTTAAAGGAGTCAGCCCTGTGTTCCCTCAGCTCTATGTTTCTTTATTTCTAAGATTTATTCTCAAAAATAAACTCTAAATCAAGTCATTTTTATTTTTATACTGCATTTAAAGGGATGATTCAGAGTACTTTCAACCTAGGATCCTTTGCATCATGAACTCTACATTACAATTGTAGTTAACTGCTGCTGGATAATGTTGTCGAAGTTTTCAGCTTGTCCAAGAAAGGGTGGACGTAAAAGGCTGGAGACCAACTGGATGTCTTAAGCAGGAGAAGTTTATTTACCATCAGTAATACAGGCCTGTGAGGACTTCAAAAGTCAACATAGCATGATTTCAAAAGAGAACATAGTATGATCTTTGAGTGTTCACGCCCCTTTACTCTGCTTTCGGAGGAGGAGGTTTATAAAGCAAGTGGTGACACTATGAAGGTCAGTAGACACCAGTTAGACAGAAATATGCCACAATTTAGATAATGGTATTTCAATGATATGCCAAGGGAAGATCATGGTGTAAATATAGCTTTTGTGTCAATGTTAAACTGAGATATACGTGGAAGATAAATTACTTAAATTCTCTTACAGATAATCGGTTGGTTGTAATTGATGACCAAACTGGGAGAAATGGGGATAAATTCTGATGCAAACTGATGATAAAGGAAATGTGGGAACATGGGACCAAATTTTGGAAACCCCCCCAAAACTTCAGAACATAAGGCTGAGGGAGCATAGGCACGTTCCCTTATTAAATGTTATTGCATTTATCTGTTTTAACTATTTCCAAAGATGAATACATTAAAAATACCCATTTGTTAAGATGTCACTGAAACGATTTCTATTATTAAGCAGTGTTGAGCCAATATTGCAGTTTACAATTCACAAAATGTACATTGATTATCCTGAAAACTAGTATAATGTGTCTTCTTTGATTTGTAGATAGGCCTAGTTATTAGCCTATAAGTTGGGTATGCATTTATTATTCAAATATTAACATCAGTCAGGGTATACTTTAAAAGGGCACATTTTTTGCCATTCCACCCACCTCTACTTATAATGGTAAGTGAAGAAGATATTTTGATATTTTTAGAGTGAAATGAAGAAATATATTCCATTGACAGTGTATTGGTGAGTTTCCATGGCAACACGCTTTATATTAGTTTTACATGTGCAAGTCTGCCTATCTTAGTAATAGGTGAAGGTTACTGTCCATATCTCTTGAATGGGCTAATGTTAAAGTATAGGGCTGTTATGATCCTTGCAAGAGCACATGTCCGTGTACATTGAGTGCAGTCCTATTTGTCTCTGTATATAACTGTACATGTCTGTCGCGTTCTGTGTCAATGATATATTATATTTTGCACCGAATCTACCAAAGTTTGGGGCTTGCAACCATATTTAGGCCAATTTTCACTCTTAAAACCACATAACATGATCCGAAAATCCACAATAAAGTCAAGGAACAGTGCATTTTTCACATAAATTGGTTACTTAAATCACTTACCACACAAAAACAGTTGAACCACACTGTCTTTTCTTGTACATTTGATCCACTCCAGATTTCACTCTATGCAAAGCTCCTGTATGTGTGTCTTCATTTCACTGATGATTGTAATAAAAGAGAAGAAATGGCTAATTTTAATTGACCAATCATGTGTCTGTTTATTTCAACAAAGCGGTCAACTCATAAAAGTATTACACAAAATACTGATACTGTGAAGCTGATGTCATCAACATTCCCTAACTGTAGGCTCTGCCCTGTCTGAAGCACTTGGAACACTTTTTTTTACTCAGTTTTACCAAAAAGAATTGACTTAGCTGAAACTAGAACAAGTGAGATGATTTGTTCTGTTAAACAAGTCTCTCTCAAATAACATTAGTCACAAGCATTTTTTACATCAGCTTGCAGGGACTCCAGGTGGGAATTACAACTTTTGCAGTAACCCTACTTCCTTTGTTGCATTAGTTTGTTGTGTTGTTTTTATGTAGCCCTACCTAGTGCCTCCGATTGAATCAAAATACACTAGATGGTTTGCAAGAACCCTGGAAATTGTAGACCGCACATCGGCCAATCAGCGAAGAGCTGTGAAGCCATGATGTTAAACTCAAGTGCCTGTCTGGGTCCCTTTTTGTGGTACAGCACAACAGTAAACAAAGCGTTTGAGATGGATGTAGAAGAAGACAGACATTCTGTGTTGGCAACAATTCCTGAGATCGAGGATTTAAAGCTGGAACAAAGTGAATTTTATCAAGGGGAAAGATGCTATTGCTCTTCTTCCTACAGTACTTGGGAAAAGCTTAATATACCAGTTAGGTATATTGGTTGGTTAAAAAAGTACCCGCCTACCGTCGAGCGAATTAATCCTATTGCTGTGAGGTCAGGTTTCCATGAAGTAAAACTGACTGATGAATCCTTCTAGTTTTTATGTGCATTGTGCCTGAAATATAAACAACTAAACTAAATGCATTTGCCCATTGCACCTGACATTTTGCCCCAGTGACATTGAAGAATGGGTTAAATGCAGAGAAATTTTCCAATGGGGCAAATATAATTATAGATTTTTTTAATTTTTTTTTTTTATTTTTATAGGAGAAATTGACTGGTACATGTTTTCTTTTCAGTTTTAGACTATTGCATCTCTTGGATCTTCTCTCGCACAAAGAATAACTAACAGCCTCTTTCGCAAAATTGACTCTTGTGAATTTTAAGCCATGTTAGAATCCTGTTACCCTCTCAAAAACATATCTCGAGTTGTGTTTCATTTCTTTCACACATGTTTACAGTTTAAGTAATGCTTTGTTGACATATCTCAAGCTTTTACATTTTGTTTAGTAGAGAACATGTAACAGCATTTTCTGTTTGAGAGAAAAACTCTGCCTAAGTAAGCAGTATTTGTGTGAATGACACAAAACAAAACTCCAGATATGTTTTTGATGAAGAAACATTATAACAGATTGGAAAATAACACAATATTGTCCCTTTAATATGTTTTAGCTCTTTTTGCAGCGTTGATTTAGGTCATGTGCGTTTTAGTATTTGGGTTGCATCAATCATAACAAACTAATCCTTCCCCTTATTTAGGTCTATTGTAATAAAGGCTCTGTAATACCAACATTTAAGGTGGATTTCAAAGTGGCCCTACTTAAACCATAGTATTTTCACAGGCATCCAGGTCATGAGGACTGAAAGAATTAAGCATCATTATGTCTCCATGCACCATTGTTGCTCCACTATGTTTAAGGAATTGTTGAAGATACAAAATATAAGGTACGTACTTGCAATCAAAGAACCACCAAATCTACTACTAGTGCTCAAAAATAATAAAAATATACCAGGACACAGGATAGTAAACAGGGGGGACAAGGGGGTCTGTTGTCCCCAGGTTTTTAGGACCCCAGAATTGGATCCTCTTCACATTAATTTATATTAGAGGGGGCTCTTGTAAGGATTCTTGCCCCTGGCCCCAAAATTTCTGTTGACAGCCCTGCTGAGACACACCAAATTAGGGTAACCAGAACTTCAAAATAAAAAACTGGGACATCCCCGTTTTTGTTTTTTTTTGTTTTTTTTGGTGGTTGGTAATAATAATGTTGTTGGATAATTGTTATGCAGAGACCGTTCATGACTAACATGTGAGCCAGTATAGTCACATTTTCTTTGTGTTTTCATCATTTTTAAGCAGAATTTTTGTATTTTACCTAAACAAATTACAATGTATGCCTCTCTATACTCTTGGCAGGTATCAAATTGGTCAAAAATAGGGACACCTGAGGCATTTCTTGTATAAAACTGGGACAAATCAATAGTTTTGGATAAATCCACAGGGACGCCACCCAGTGCCTCCGCTCAATTTCATGTCTCTCCAGCGACTAGGTCAGGAATCAGAATACAACAGACGGTTCATAAAAACCCCGGAAGTGCAAGTTCGAGCACCAGCCAATCAGTGAAGAGTCATATATTCAGTGCTGTCAACAATTCCCAAGATCAAGGATTTAAAGCCTGAATAAAGAGAATGTTTGGTGAATTTTATCAAGGGGAAAGACGTTATTGCCCTTCTTCCTACGGGATTTGGGAAAGTCTTTTTATACCAGTTATCCCCGTTAGCGGTGCATTCGATACGTCATGACCAAATAGCAGCGATTGGTTAAATTAAAAAAGTACCCGCCTACCATCGAGTGAACGAATTCTATCGTGGGTCAAACAGTTTCTATGAAGTGAAACTGGCTGATGAATCAGGCTACAGGGACAGGGGACACATGGCTCAACACTGGGACTGTCCCGGGAAAACAGGGACATCTGGGGCCTCATTTATAAAAACTGCGCAGGAGTTGTCGTAAGTTAGTGCATACGCCTAGTAGCTACGACAAGGCGTGCGTATGGCCACGCAAACTCCATATTTAGAAAACCCACCGCACGCACCAAACCACGCAATCTTTGCTTTATAAATCCCACCTGCAACTACAATTTGCGCACGTAAACCTACGTCACGTCACGCCCTCTCCACACCTCCACCTCACCATAAAAGGAGCATGTAAAGTGACTCGTGAATGAGATTTCCCTAAACGTGAGCCGATAATCAGTGGGTTTGACCGAGACACGCGGGACAGAGGGAGGAGGAGGCTCCACGCAGCACCACGTGATCACGTCAAAGACTTTATTAAAGACTTTATTAAACCTTGTTTAATAAATAAATACAAAACTAAAAGTGACAACAATGACTCATCTGTTCATTTAATCATATTTTATAATATTTAGGCAGAACATTTTTGCAGTAAAGCCCATGTGTTTTTTCGCTGTTTCAAGAGTTTTATCGCTATATTTTTAAGTCTGTCTATGAAGTGTGTGAGGACTGGCCCTGTGTATTTATGCACATACACGTAGATACGTGCACGCGCTGATCTGAATGGTCAAATTATGAGCGCGTGCGAGAGATTCAGATGCCCTCCCTGGAGAGGGAAAGGAGCGAGGGAGGGACACAAGGATACGAGGACACAGATTTAGCACGAAACACATCAGATACAGATGTTATTCTGCCAATTAAAGTCCACACGAAACATCCAAACTGCTCACCTGTGAGTGTGGGTCTGGGTCGGGACGGGCACGGGCATTATTCTGTTCTTCATACAGTCAGAGAGCAGCTCTCATGTACAAGAGTTCCCCATTACACAAAAATGTAGGGAAGATTTTGGTTGGGGTCAGGTTCGGGCAGTGGGCTTCGTGTTGTCCGCAGACTCAGGTCACTCTGGCGCTCGGTGCGTAAAGACTAAAGTAAAAGTGTTAAAATTGCGTTCATTAAATCAAAGCCTGGCTCCAGCTGCGTCCAAGGGAAGAGTTTTCTCTCAGGTTGGGTCATTATTTCGTCCTCTGTGTTGGTCACAGTCTGTGTTCTATAGAAGTCTATGGTCGCGGTGTGGACTGTGGGACTCTGCGCTACACGAGTCCGGGAACGTGGCCGCGCTCGTGCACGAGTGTCAAATGTATAATATTGTGGAGAATAATGAGTGGAATAAACAGCCCTTCTCCGTATTTTGGCGAACCAAACACTTAAATGCGCAAATCAGAAGGTAATTCTTCTATATACGTGGATTTTCTGATCAAACACTTCCTCAAACTCTGTTCACTTTTGCTTCTCTCCACGAGTGTCGCTTTTTCCCCGTGTCTCCAGACTTTGCGTAGAACTTACAGGAGGTCCCGAGTTGGCGTAGAGTTAAGCAAAGAGCCACGCCTTCGGCGAGTTTTATAAATACCACGCGGTTGGCGTAAGAAGCGCGCACGCACGGATTTTTGCGTAAGCAAGCTTTATAAATGAGGCCCCTGGTCACCTTATGGTAATTTCACATGTGTTTTATAGCCTACATATTTTTATAATAGAAAACACTGGGAACAAACCAAAAACAACCAAGTAGTAGATTTATACATCCTCAGGCTCATTACAGATTTATTTTGAAGAAAAGCTACTGTAACATAGTTCTTAGTTGCATATTGTATCTGTGCAGAGGCCTGTATGCCCCTTGTTTACACTGGGCCCTTTGTTATCGCCTAAAGCCACTGCAGTAGTCCGTATATAGGTCACGGTCGCATTGTAGCATAGGCCTGCCCAGTGCTTACAGTCAGCTCTGCACATTGGCCTTCAGCATGGCCTGCCCTCTGCATGGGACCAAACAATTTCAAATCTTTTCAAATCACTACCACCCAACACGCATGCGCAGTCAGTGACGTGTCCACAAAGCGTCTGTCAGGCAGAAGGGATGCAGGAGGAGCGAAGGGTCTCTGCAAAAACTTCCAAACCTTGCACTTTTATCCATGCTGTAACTTTGGGAAATAGTTTACTTAAATCGTGTGTTGTTTGGGATTTTTGATGCCAGTTAGTGTGGCGTTTTGAAGCCGTTTAATTTAGTTTTTAGCCACTTTTCAGTCACTGACCTTCGTGCTAACTCAGCGAGCTAAGTCGGTAAACTAACCTAAACAAACACCGGTGTAGTTAGCGATAATATGTAACAATTATAACGTTAGAGATGTTAAATTTAGCTAGCACGTAGTTTAGGTTTTATATTTTTATTTTGTGGTGGAGTACCGAGCGTGAGAAATCGCTTGCTGGAGGTTTGACTGTCAGCGGGACTGCGATCACACACGAAGCCGAGGATGATGTCTCGAAGGCGGATAGATTGTCGGAGTGGACCCGCTACCACCACGGGGCTCCTCAGTGACATCCACACTCCTATCTCCTCTGATTCTTTCGAAAGTGTCTATGAAATCACCGGAGAACTGGGGAGGTAAGTGGCCAAGACCTTAAAATAATTTAAATAATAAGTTTTTACAGAAATATTTTTTGTTTTGGTCTGGACTATGGACCTTGAAACGACATATAGTTCAATGAAGTGGGTCTGGAGTTTGCATGCATGGGTACACATTGATAAATTTATGAAAGTATAATTTATTACACTATGTTGACGCTTGCATTGGCATTCTTGTGCTTTTTTTACAATTTGGGGCAATTCTTACTCATTTGTGTCTTTTATTTCTAACACCTACAACAATATTTCAATCAAAATACCAATTTATTGTATGACTTAAGTGGCCCTTTTGAAATCCGCTTTGTTTACTTTACAGTACTCCTCCTGTCATTGTGGTTTAATGATTGCTCATGCTTGATAGCTTTGTAATGGCAAAGATCCAGCATTGCCTTTCGTGGCATTTGATAAGCTTATTTCTTCTTATTTATGTATTTCTTTATTTATGTGTAAAGGGACAGCACATATTCATAAATTTAAAATGTATTTAAAATGTAAATGTGCAAAGATTATAGCAAGCGTGGTTAATTTCCATCTTCAGTCCCTCGGCAGGTTGATGTGAAATCATCTACAGGACAGGGAAAAGTACAGCAACAATCACTCAAAAGTACATAACACCAGCACACTCACTGTACACTCACTGTACACTTACTGTACACTTACTGTATACTCATTGTACACTCACTCACTGTATACTCACTGCACACTTATAGTACAGACAATTAATTTCAGACAGTTCGGAGTTAAGAGTTAAAGTGTTAAACCAACAACCCCTCAGTATAAAAAATGTAATTTTGTTAAACATGTTGACATATTTAACCATTGGGCAACCACTTTTTTAAAGCTTTAGAAAATGCTGCAGTGTTGAAAGTTCTCCTATATGATCTGCACTGTATTCCATGTTTGACCTGCTCAATAAGCAAAAGAGAGTTGTCCAAAGGCACTTTTCGTAAACAGCACAGAGCAGTCACCTCTAGAGCTGCTCTTGTTGTTCGATTTTAATTTCTTTTCACAAACTCCTTTAGAGGAGGTGGAGACAGATTATTAAAAACTTTGTATACCAAAATTAAATCTGCATATTTGAATGTGTTATCCCAATTAAGAAATTTGTATTTGTCAAGTATTCTGCAATAGTGATAGCTTTTTGTCTAATATCTTAAGTATTTTCTTTATCGATAATTTCAGTTAATTTAAAAGTAGTTTTGCTTGTCAGAGTCCAAATAGTAATGCAGTAATTTAGGTGCGACAAAATCATGGAATTTAAATACATCATTTTATGACTTATTGTTAGGACCATAAATCTATATTATATTCTACAGTAGTGTTCTGTTAATAGTTAAGAGTTAGGGATGTTAATGAATGAAGAAACCTTGTATATGACCGGTGAGACCTGTTTTATTATAGGAGAAGTCGTGACTTAGTCATGTTTCCTATTAAAAGTGACAGTATAGTAATGGTCATCCAGTAGTCAGTTTCCTCATTCGTTATCTAAACAAGCTGGATAATAAATTGACGTTACAAAATATAAAGCATTATATATTTGTTTTCTGTTGCCTTTTCACAAACATATAAAAGTAACTACTGCAAAAGTAATAAGTTAGACTGCTATTCAAAATATGTGTTATTGTGATTCAAATATGCATCACCAAAACGTGTAAAAGTGGAAAGCAATAGGTTAAGGGAGGTAAGTTACTTGAACTTACTTTGCTCGATGTTTGACTCATTATTGTACCAGTTTTTGTAATGACTTTATGGAGAAGTGTGCTTTTCTGTTTTTTTAAGAGATTAATTATGATTATTTATCTTAATTTATGCATTTTTCTTCACTCAAACTCAAAATACATGAATCAGTCACACCTTTTTTGTTGTGTGATGACACCTATTCACATGCGTAGATACAACTGCACGTGTCGTCACTCATTTGAACTTTTCCAGTAACACGCTGCCAACATAGAGATAGTTACGTAATAGTTTATTGCTCTGAAAACCAACAGCATGCTCCCTCCTTTGTACCTGTTTCATACATAATATTACATAAGAATAATCAGATTTGTTTGGTTTGAGCCACAGGAAATCGATATTTCTACATAACATTAAGCAGATTATAGTGAGTGGAAAGCCTCTGCAAAAAGTAACACAATGGGCATCAGTAAGGTGTATCTGATAGTAGTTTTTACTGTTACTAAAATGACAATTATAGAATGTTGAGCTCAAATTCATATTTATCTCAATTACATTTAAAGTGCATTGTTGTTAATTAGTTAGTGGACTCTTTCTCTATGAAAATTACACAAATGACTATAGAGAAAATGCAATAATATTTCTTGAATGAAAAATTGTTGCTTGTTTAAGAAGGATTTTGGAGTGCTTTTTTTTTTTTTTTTAGCAAAGATCCAGTGTAAAAATGTGACATCATCTTACGGGTTAAGAATAGACTGGAGCACCATAAAAACCTATCTGGACACAATGGCTGGGAATGACCATATTGTTGCCAATGTAGCTAATGTAGTTTAAAGAGCCCATATTACACTTTGTTCTGATGAGTTCTGAGTTCCTCTTTCAAAATGAAAACACTCTGTTCACTGTTGGAGATGTAGACAGACCAATAATTCAGGGTTACCAAATGTGTGTGAATGAAACAAAACAAAACTCCAGGTATGTTTTTAACCATTTTAACATGGGTTTAAGCTCATAAGGCTCTTTTTTGTGTCATCTAGGACCTTTGATACTATCTAATATGCTAAATAAAGATTTAAAAATGTTAAAATATAAATATTTAGTTTGATAAATAAAAGCTTATGATTTAATAATACATTTTATTTATAGAGATTTGAGGACACTCAAAGACGCTTACTGTATTCTTTGATGTAAAGTCTGCAGATTATATTTTCACAATGTGTTACTGAAAGGCCGTATTGATAGCTGGTACAGGGCAGTGCTAAGTTCAAGGGTTTATGAGGAAATCAGTCATATGGAGCAGGAAATACATCTTAATACCTTTCTATGTAACACACCCTCCAACGGATTACAGCTTTCAATCCATTTACTGACTGTATAGTGCAAAGCCTGTGTCACTGCTCCTGTCTGCACCAGCACAGGACTCACAAACAGGAAAACTGTGCTTAAACACCCCCTAATTTTAATATTATACTGCCCCCTTTGATGAATTCTAGAACTGGCCTCTCAACCCTGATCTTTGTTCAATGGTTTTACTGTACGGCTTTATTTACAGAAACAACTGAGCTTTATTAGTTCAAATATTCTACCAAATGAAAGGGCTATAACCGACTGAACAAAGCGCCCCAGAGAGTACATCACTAAATGCAGCTTTTATCAAATCGTAAAGTGTTTTCATCAACTGTGAACCAGGAAGTAAGGCTAGTGCGCTGTTATCATAGATAATGTTTTCAAGAAATGTAAGATGAGTTACTTTGTGGTCACCAACCAGAAGGTAGGTGGTTCAAAACTTAATTGAGTGTAGTTAAGTCACTGAGCAAGGCACTTCCATGACCAACTTTATAAAATTATTGGGTATGTAATGGAATGGATGGTTGCTAATGGAAGGCAAAGTTGACAACCTCAGTTTAAGGGAAACTTTTGTACAAAAAGCCAAAATGTAAATAAAAATGCTGTAAATGTATTATGGTTTAAAAATGCAGCTGTATTATTTTATATATTTAGTATTTTATCTATGTACTTCAGATAACAATTAACAAGTATCAACATACATGTCTCTGTACTAGTGACAATTATTCTGATTAATTGTTGCGGCCCTATAAAATATATTTGATTTAAATGTAAACATTTTTACAGTTTCATACTCCTAGTCTACACATGTTTACGTAAACTTGAACCTCCCCCACCCCAGTGAACCTGTATGTAAACAATAGACTGTGTAACTGTAATGCATGAGCTCATAGGTTACATTAGACCTTTGTAATCCCAGTGTCTTTGAATGCATCACAGACACAGCACAAAGATGGCTCTGTGTGGTCTGCTGGGATCATGAAGCAAACCTGTGATTGTCTATGACCAGAGTAATGTGATGTCTTCTGAGCATTTCTGGTGGTTTCAAAACACGAGGAAGGAAGTGCGCTCATGTAGAAACTTAAAAAAGGGGAAATTACTTTAGCCTTGCAAAGTGTGTGAATTTTTTGGAAAAAGATGCTTAAATAGTTGCGCACATTGTGAGCTATAGCCAAATATGTAGGAACAGCTAATTTCTGACTACATTGTGACTAGTTGCTCTGCCTACACTTGTAACAATAAAATCAGAGAGGTGGATGGATGATGGATGGATGGATTTTGTAGTGGGGGTTGGAGATGTTCTTGCTTTACCTGGATGTTCCTCAGTGTAGCATTAAACATGTAGTGGATGTCTAGTTCTATGAGGGTCTATGTGTTTTATTGCTTAAGACATACATTCTTACTGTGTACATCTTGCTACAGATCTGACTAGTAACTTGGCTTAGTGGGATTACCTGCTTGTTTCCATAGAGAGACAAGTTTAATGTCATACCGTAGATCATTGCAGGCAAAGGTAGATAATGGCTTCTGGTTTGTGCCAAAACGTCAAAAACAGTGTCCCTTTTCTTCCTTGGACCATAGTATATTTTTAAAGGACCTATAACATGCTATGTTCTTATCTTGATTATAATGTTCTTTCCTCATCTAAAACATACCTGGAGTTGAGTTTTGTTTCATTCACACTTGTTTAAATCCATAGGTCTTCACTAGAATAATTTGAAATAATTTCAGCCCTGGTCGTGTCTGTCTCTACTGAACAAAGCATGTTGAGCTTTGGAGATGAAGACTAATAACAAAGGATTACTTAAATCTGTGTGAAGGAAACAAATCACTGCTCCAGATATGTTTTTTGATGAGATAACAACATTATAATGGCTTAAATCTCACAAGAGTCATTTTATTACAATAATTTTAAGTTTTGTTCAATTTTCAGAGGTTCAAATAAAACATTAGCAACCTCAGATTTTCGTGTTAACTATTTTGTATTTATATTCATGGGTTTAGACTTCCTGGTGTATGTAAATTCCTGAGGACTTCCCCATTGAAAGATATAATATTTTCTTTGAATTGGTTATTGCTGTGGCAATAGTTATAATTTCTTATCATTGTGAAAACCATTAATTTGTCAAGACATTTCACGGCCCTACCTTGCCGGCCAAATGTTTGTTTACATCTTTCTTATCTCTGTTGCGTGAGAACAGAAGCTAGCTTAGATAAACTAAATGCTGCTAATTGGTCTCTATAATGTTTCGTAAACATGTCTGTCATAGAGTTGGATTGTTGATGTTCAGGTTTTTCGGCTCCTGTGAATTTTGACACTTTAATCTGAATAGGCCCTATGCAGGTGGTTACCATAACAACAACTATGATCCCATCAAAACAAAACAGAAGCCATATAATCTGACCGGAATGTCTCTGTATTGAGTTCCTATGAAAACCATGTCTATTATCTGTGCAGTTGTAGCTTTAGGGCCATGACAAATAATATGTGATCATGGAAGTGAAGTCATAAGTGAAGTAGTAGTCTCCAGTTTTTCAATGGTATGAATTTTATTTTTTATATATATACATTTTTTGTCAAGTTCCCATAGTGAATCAGACGCACAGTAATGAAATTTGACTTCAGATGCCCTTCGTTTTGCAGCCATCCATTTGCATATGTTGTCATGTTACAAAACGTAGGGTGTCTTAACACTTACGTGCGATGATGAGATTCAAAAAATGAGATTAGACTTTACTCCATTATGGGTTAGTTTTATAAACACAGGGTTGTGGATGTTTAAACATAATTTCAATTGAAAATTCTTTTTCCTTATTATAGTTTCATTATGCAGAGTAGTAAACAGTATAGACAATATTTATGTTAGTTGTAATTTGAAATCATATATTTTTGGGGCAAATTATCAAAATCGGCTCTACGTAACGGACATATTATAAACTGAATATCCCAAGTACATTGAAGCTTCTTTGTAGCCGTTGCCCCGTTTGACCCAGTTTTACCCCTTCCCCCTCAGATGGAATCCCTGTTGAATGTGGGACATGGCTTTGTGCATGACCCAAACAAAACAAATACAGTGAGAACCCAAATAACAGAACAATATGAGGCTTAGAAATATATAAATAATAAAAACCGAAATCATTCAAACTAGATAGGAAATGACTGGCTTATGATTTAGGATACTGTTGTTTCATTCACATATGTTTGAGTAATCCGACTGTGCTACCATTGTACTGTTGTACTAACGAAAAATCTGACCATATATTCTTCTCTTCGTCTCTTGTCCAGGGGTAAGTTTGCGGTGGTGAGGCGCTGTGTGGAGAAAGCCTCAGGTAAAGTGTTTGCTGCTAAGTTCCTGAAGAAGAGGAGACGAGGGCGTGACTGCAGAGCAGAGGTAGTCCATGAGATGGCTGTCCTGGAGATGACCCGAAACAACGCCCGAGTGGTGAACCTGCACGCCGCCTACGAGACCGACCACGACATCGTCCTGGTGCTAGAATAGTGAGTCTACACAAAACTGTTCTATTGATACTTCTACATGTATCTCTATTGGTGGAATATTCAGCAGTTACTTTGGTGACACAAAGAAAACACAGACTAAAAAGTTTTAAGATAGTCTGAAAACTCCAAGAAAAAATACAAAATGCATTTAAACAGCACATTTTTAGCAGAAGAGCGTTCATGGTCCTATTTAGGCCTTTGATTTTCATTTTTCTCTTTCTGGTCAGATCGTGTTAAAACAAAGGTCAGTTTGAAGTTTAACTTGAGTAACAGAGCTTCTAACAGAATAGTGCTTTAGTTGGCATCACACCCCCAGAGAATGTTAAAGACATCAGCTGCATAGTAACACTTATTTAAAGCTTTCAACTGTAAGAGTACCAATACCAGATGTGAAAACTGTTCTTAGGCCTGTCCAGATAAATACCATATCAAGTTATCGTTCCGTACACGGCAAATGGAATAATAATTTTTGGAGGTCACTATTTGTCATGGGTACTTTTTCTTTACACTAGTGGGAAAATTTTGGCCTGCTTCATCAGCTGGTTTCACTTCATGGAAACTGCCTGACCTCGCAGCATTAGGATTTGTTCGCTCAATGGTAGGGGGTACCTTTTTTATTTAACCAGTTGCTTCTGTTTGGTCGTGACGTATGTACTAACGGGGCTAACTGGTATATTAAGCTTTTTCCAAATCCTGTAGGAAGAGGGCAATAACTTCTTTCCCCTTGATAAAATTCACCAAACATTCTCTTTGTTCTGGCTTTAAATCCTCGATCTTGGGAATCATTGCCAGCACAGAATGTATGGCTTCGTCCATTTTGACCACTTTGTTGTGCTGTACCACAAAAGGGACACAGTCATGGCTTCACAGCTCTTCGCTGATTGGCCGGTGCGCGGTCTACAACCTCCGGGGTTCTTGCAAACCGTCTACTGTATTCCTGACCTAGTCACTGGAGAGAAATGAAATAGAGTGGAGGCACTAGGTGGAGCTAGCCTGGCTAGGAATATTGTGGTTATTTTTCTGTTCTATGATAATATATGAGCTGTAGAAGAGTGAATTATGAACTTCTGTGACTCATTATAGATACAAACTAACGGTCATTGCAGCTTTTTTTAAACAATGTTGTTCATTTAGAGCACATTTTGATGATACTTCTTTATGGTTTGGTTTAAATATTACTGTTCATCGTCAATATTTACTTCAACAATATATTACACTTAAAAATATGTTTTTGTGACAGGCCTGTCTGTTCCCTCATCTGACCTTTGTTCAGGCTCACCAGTGCTCTCTGCTCTTTTCAGGCCAAAGCAGTACACTAGCAGACAGCAGTAACATAGATAGCATCTAGGTGGTGATATGTGTGAATACACCAGTCACGGGTGAAGTTTCTTGTGTCTTAATTGAGGACACAAGTTAACAACAGTATTGATACCGAAAAAAACACACAAATAGAATGCATTTTGACCTTTCTTGATCTATATCAGAATTATTCTAAGACCACACAGTACTGTTAAATATACTACTAATATTGTGTTTAGAACATTTCAAACCTTTTCCTTAGTATCTAGGTCAAGTTTAAAAATGTATTAGCGTGACAAGGACAAATCGATACTCACATTTGACAAACCAAATTTTTCAGTGTCATTTTTCAAACATAGGTGTTAAGTATTAATATGATTTGTGAAGGTACTTAAAGCCTATAATGATATGGCGCTGTTATCTGGCCAAACCTTTTACTAATCTTTTGCTTTTGTCTCGTGAGCTTTTCTTCAAATGCGAAAGTCCAAAGTCCTGTTTAGTTTTAAAACTAAACAGAAACTAAACCGACATGTTCCCATTACATTTATCTGAACTGTATTTTACCCGACCAACCCTTGAAACTCTTTATGTTTTTAAATCAGCTTTATCTGACACTTACCGGTAATTCATCACCTATTTAAACTGACAATCGAAGTACATTGACGGACAGCTCTTCAATAGGTCAATACTGTGTTATTGGCTGTCATTTGGGAAAGGCGTGCTTGGTTCTTTCTTGTTGCAAATATTTTCTTAAATCAAAAAGCAAAAAAACAATTGACTTTGAACCTGTTGACATCAGCTGATCCTAAAAATATACATGAACTAAGAACTAACCACATTAATAGTTATAATGTTGTTTAGTTTGCGTAGAGCTTAGACGTCTTGGCTGTGGAGTTGTCAATAATAATTTGCAGATCAGATGCAACAATGACTTTGCAATATTTTATTTGAAATCTCATTGTACACATGTTGGTCAATTATATTAGGAGAAAACAAATTTAAAGGTGGACCACTAAGTCACTTTTCTGTAGATGTTATTGCTTTGCCTTGCTTGTGTCATCAATGGCTGACTTAGTAACTATTAAAAAGAATCAATTCTTACTTTACATCCTCATTTTGTGCGTTTTGTTTACCAGTACCAGACTAAAATCTTTATGATCCTCTACGGGACTTGTTATTTCGGTAGTTGATCCTTTGCAAACCTGAATAACTAGAAGGGCATTAAAAAGAGGGGCACAGAAGGGTTGGTCTGTTTAGTCAGTGATAAACCATGAGTGAGTAATCAGGAAACTCTTGCACGACTCTTGCTCAAAGTTGTGCCATAGCCTGTTTATGAAATGACTAATATGAAAAAATAGTGATTGAGAAATCCACTAGATGATAACACGCAAAAATGAAAGAGTCTGCAGTTCGTCTGGTCATGATAACACATTTTGACATTGTTGAAGAAAACATGATGATAAACGAAAATACTGATACAAATTTTTGCCACTGACACAAAAAACACTCTGATCTAAACAAACAGTATGGTTAAAACAAACATGAACTGCAATAAATAAACAGTAGAATGAAGAACTTTTAGTTATATTTCTGCAGGATAAGAAGATTTGAGCTGTAGAAGGTTGAGGGTGATCATGTTCTAACCACATATTTTCCTCTTGTCTTCAGTGCTGCCGGAGGAGAGATCTTCGACCACTGTATTTCTGATGAGCTACTCCCCGAGGCTCAGATCACTCGTCTCATCAGACAGACACTGGAGGGAGTGCACTACCTCCACCAGAGCAGCCTTGTGCATCTGGACCTCAAGGTACAGTACACACCAATATATAATAATACATTGCCATGGTTACGTGCAGACTAGGGTTGTCAAAAGTATTGCAACTCTGATACCAATCAATACTAAAACTAGTATTGAAACTAGATACTCATTTGAGTGTATTGATAATAAAACACACACATTCACATTCACAGGACAGAAATGAGCCTTTCCTGAATAGTTTTAGAATGATCTTGAGCTGTATCAGAACAAGTGTGAAACCAAATAGACTAGTATACCACTATGGACCACAATGGAAGCTACCTGGACAAATAACTGTTACCTAGCAACCGTAATATTAATAAGGGCCAAAACTTGTCTAAATTGCACAATAGTTATGATTTGACTTACAAAGATGACAACATCTTTGTTAAATGAAGATGGATGGATGGAATTTTCTGTGTTTTAGAACGCTGCATTACTTCCTGTATATATTTTACACAAACTGCCACTTGACTGATGTAAAACTATGATAAATATTTACCACTTTGGTGGGCTACCAAACCAAGTAATAATTAGAAAAACATGAAAATATATGTACTTTTAAGATGCATTTGTAGTGTATTGGACAATACAATTAGATTAGCAGAATATATTGGTAATGGCAGCTTTGAGTCACTCATGTAAATAGTATAATTTACAACAATACTATTATAGTCTAATTAAAGATGTGCTACACTGTAATCATCATACACACTACACGGTGACTGGCTCAGGACTGTAATTACTCTAAATGTGTGATCTCATAGTTTTCTCCTACTGTCTATTGACCAATATTATTCAGAACTATTATGTGGAATTGATTTAATTGTTCAGCAAATGTCAGGTTAGTCATGTTGTTGATGCAATTTTGACTCTTGAGTAAAATATGTTCTCAAACTGGGTATAGTAAACACAGCCAATCCTCTGTCTATAAAACATGTGGGTTGGAGCAGAGAACAGATTTAGGAATAAGAATTTGTTTTGTTTTATACTTGTTTATGTTCAAGAAATGAATATTGAAATCTTGTATTTGTTTTTATAGTAAACCATTAGATTGTGATCTATTTGAAGGCTAGCTAGTATAATTCAAGAAGATATTAAAAAGACAAGTTAAAACACAAAATAATAAAAAAGGAGTAGGTACAAGTGAAACTATAGAACTTACTCCTTTTGTGTAATATTGACTTACTTCATTTAAAGCCACAGTATGTAACTTTATAGTCAAATAGAATTGCATCTCCACAAACCTGACTCTCATTTGGCCTGGAGGAGGGCCTCATCCTGCTTGTTTTCATGAAAATGCTGTTCCTTTTTGCCATAATATACCACATTATGGCATAAAACGTATCTGTCTCTATTGAGGAATGTGCTGAAGTAAGATGTTCACTTTCTATTTCCGTGGAATCATGTAGTTGATTTTCCACCTCCAGAAAGTTATATATAGTACCTTTAAGAAGACAATACAATGTTACATACATACATAAACATTATTTAGTCTGTTTGCTTTACAGAATTGACTTTTCAAATGTCTTATTTCTTGCACACATTTATAAAACATTTCCATCTTTGCTCCATTCAGAATGTAACTGTGAACTGCTTATTTCACATAACTAATCCTTTCTCTCTTCTCAGCCTCAGAACATCCTCCTGACCAGTCTGACTCCAGTGGGCGACATTAAAATCGTGGACTTTGGTTTGGCTCGACGGCTTGGAGCGGTCGGAGAGCTCAGGGAGATCCTGGGCACACCTGAATATGTGGGTAAGGACTGAACACGTGCACCATAGACCACTGGGTAATAATTATACATTTTATTTATATAACGCTTTTCCAGACACTCAGACTCTGCTAAAATTGTGCTATATTAAAAACATGGAAAGCAGTACAACATTTAGGCTTCAAAATTTGTTATTGTGATAGGTGTGACTCAAACTTGCTCAAACTTCTCACTCACGTCTCATCTCTCAGAGCTCCAATCTACTTCTGTCTCTTCTCCGAAAGCCCTGATGCCCTGTTTTTGGATTGAACCACTCATTTTCATATTAAATTCTCTTTTTATAGATAAACAAACATTGAAAGTAGCATACGGAACATTTTTGTCCATACGTTTGAGACCCCTGAACCACAGACCAGTGAGTGAAAGAGCTTCAGTTTGGATTTAGCTGAAGTCAAAACCACGAAAATATGTATAATGTCTGCGAATGTCATTTTAACTTAGAAACTGTATTAGTAATTAGGAGACATATGGCAAATAGATTTCATTTGTATCATATTTATCCGACAAAATGAAGGCAACCTGAGCAGGGATGTCTATGGTGAGATCCAAACATAACAAAGTTTTGTATGTAGAGAGTTAATCTTTCACGAAATGTGTGATTAAAGTGCATATAATTATTTTGTTGTTTAGGAGAAAAGACTGTAGGCATACTATTTAAACTTGAATCAAAATTAATACAAATCTGGGCCAAAAAAATTACCTATTAATAAATAAATGTGAAATGAATAAATAATGTTCTGTTTTGTCTTTAGCTCCTGAGATCTTGAACTATGAGCCCATCACAACAGCCACAGACCTATGGTGAGTCAAACCCAAATCCAAACTATATATTTTCACCCACCTCAAATCTAAACTCTTCACCCTTCACTGCTGTTGCATGTTTAAATAAAGCTTAATTCTGTGTTGTTTTTTTCTTTTTAGGAGCGTGGGGGTGATCGCGTACATGCTAGTGACCGGAGAGAGTCCTTTTGTGGGGGACGATAAACAGGAGACCTATTTAAACGTGTCTCAGGTCAATGTGGACTATAGCCGCGAAGCCTTCTCTAGAGTCTCTGAGCTCGCTGTGGACTTCATCAGAAAACTGCTTGTCAAAGCCCCAGAGTAAGTGAAACGGTGTAATCTTTAAAGGTGCTATTCTATGCATAACCTTCTCTACATACAACATTTCTTTCTTACTTTTGCATATCGTACACTCTCTGATCACTCACTACTTGTTTTTAGGTTAATTTAACTGACCTAAAAGCTATGGACAAGTATTAATTGAATCTGATTTGCCCAGTTTAATTTGGTTGTGATATTTGGTCTGATTAAAATATTTGTGTTATGAAAATCTGGGGGTGGAAAGTCAACTGTATAACTCCATGGAAATACAATGGAAAGTTATGCAAGTTGTTTCTATATCTTTCAGTTCAATAAACACATCAATAATGAAAAAAACTGCTTTTATTTTAGTCTATTTTTGGCACACACAAAAAAAGTTACATAAGAGAAAATACAATAGAATCCAAAATCTTTAACAATGTATATATAGTGATGCATATATTTGCAATATCAGCCATACCAGTTTGTCAAAGCCTGATCCTGTCAGATCTCAGAAGCTAAGCGAGGCCGGGCCTGGTTAGTACATGGATGAGAGACTGCTGGGAAAATCAGGTGCCACAGTGGGGCGCCAGTCGCAAAAACTGTTGTTGTGTCCTTAGACAAGAAACTTCACCCACAATGCCTAGTATTAAGGTGGTGTGTGTGAGTGATGGTGATCGGTGGTGCCGATGGCGTAGATTCACAGCCGTGCTTCCCTCAGCTGTAGCTACAATAGTATCTTACCACCACCAGGTATGAAGTGAATGAATAATGATCTATGAAACGTCTTTGTGACATATGTTTGTGAAAAGTTCTCTATAAATTAAAACTTACTTACTTACATATCGCCCGAGACAATTATAAACACATCAATTTTGAACCATCTCCTCTCTCTCCTCTTCAGAGATCGTCCCAGCGCCGCAGAGTGCATGAGCCACCCCTGGTTATGGCAGCAGTCCCTCTCGTTGACCTCTGACCCCTCCTGTGCCCTCCGCCCTGTCCGTGAGCGCAGCTGTGGCACCAAATGGACCATCCCACCCGAGGACACAGAAGACAAGGAGAACATGATCGACTCGCCTCACTCTCACGCCAAAAAGTTCAGGTTGGAAGAAGACGGGGACTTTTGAGATATGGAGAAATCTTTTTTTTTTTAATATATATATATATTAAGCTTTTAAATTGTTTTATTATTATTATTGTTAAGACTGTGCAAAACCAGAGGCTCGATGCTCACTGCCCGCATTCAATATAATCTGCTATAAGCTCTGCATTTCAGCCAAAGATAACATGTGAGATGCATTACTGATTCAGTGATAGTCAAGTGTTTTGTTTTCTGTCAAAATCCATTATAACAGCTTCAGTCTCAAAAAGAAGTATATGCTACACTGAAGAAATAGGTTATGTCTTCATCATCTGTCCATGGGTTTTAGAAGTATCAAAAATGATTAAAATCTTAAACTATATCTTTCGAATGGTGAAAATTCCTCAAAACGTCACTTGTAAATTATCAAATATAATCAGAAGTTGGAGAGAAGCACAGGTCTTAGTGTGTGTACAAAATATCTAAAATGCTCTGGACCCAGTTTTGTAGTACATAGTCTTAAGTACTGTGATAGCTTTCCAAATTTTAGCCATTTTTCTTGAATATTTCTTAGATAGCACATTAAATTAAAATAGCGTTGAAGATTTTGTCAGAATTCCAATATGAACTAGAGAAAGATCCACTTCCAGATTTGTGTCTTTAGCATAGCAACCAATTAGCATAGCAGCCAATTAGCATAGCAGCTTAGCCTTACATTGTTTAGCCATTATTCTGAGCTGTCTTGTTCCTCTCCGCTAAAAATGTATTGGTAAAATTATGTCTAATAGACTCAAAAATACAAAACACTTGACTATCCTCACCTCTTGATTAAATGGTGTAAATAATTCCAGGTTAGACCAGCGTGTGTAATCTAAGTATTTAATGATAGCTGTTTAATTGTCTGTTATTCTTAAAAAGGGGGATTTTTAAACCCACTCCTGGATGAGTGTTAGTTGTCCCTGTTCAAATGAAGGCTAGTATTTTGAATATTTGTTGTATTTTTCTATGCAATAAGTCAAGTTTTAAATGTCTTTTAAATTAAACAATATCATAGCAATAGCAATGATAGTATAATACCAGCATTTATTATTTTTACTATTAAAGGGCCAGGCAGCGTTAAATATAGCACAAAATGAATGACTGCATACATAGTTTTATATAAAATGTGGTTAAATATATTCCTGTTGCGTGTTCCAACATTCCTATTGCACTTCCAACGAAAACTTTCATTTACAGATTTTCTTTCAACATTCCTACAGTTTATTTTGCTTTTTCAAAACATATTGGATTGCCCTTCTGTTTTAATAGTACGCTTTTTTTCCTTTGTATTGAGTGTCCTTCTGAAGAACCATTGGTAGGTATTACTGCACGTTCCTCAAGATAGATTTCCCCTTCACAATAAAAGTATTGGGTATGTTTTTAAATTTACTACTATTTAATATGATACATTCCTCATATCCTCCCCTTCACAATAAAAGTCTCAAGTGTGATGCATTGAAAAACCTTGATCATTAGTACATAACTTGAACCTATATGTAATATAGTTTTTTCTTACATATGTCTTATCAGTTTTCCCTTTTTAAGGAAATATGTGAAAAATAAACAATTATTACTACTTGAAAGCACAAAGCATTCCTAACGGATACAACAGAAACCTGCAAAATCTAATATTTTAACTTTTTAATTCTAAAGAGAAACCTGAGCCATTTTATGTCACCAATTTTCTCCCCACTGGTAGAAAATTATCACTTTAAAGGAGCACAGTGTAACTGGTGGAGGGTCAACCAAAAAAAATGTTATTCCACAGTGTGGCATTTGACTTATCCATCTCCATGGAGACAAGCAGGTGACACAACCAATTAATAGTCGGATCTGTGGAGAAGTGAGCTCGCTCAGAGCAGGAGTGCATGTTTTTCAAGATATTTCTGAGCAGTAAAATGCCTGTAATTAAATAAATGGGAGTTAGATTTGTTAAATGTCATACTGTGGACCATTCCATGCACATCAACCAATATCTCCCTGGAGACAAGCCATCTCTTCAAAAAAGTTACATAGTGCACCTGTAAATGAGAAAATTATACTTATTTGACTACTCAAAATAAGATTAACATTCAGAAGAAGTAATTTAAAGAGATGCTTCATTTTTGCTGTGCTGTTTCTATTCACGAATCTTTGCGTCATCATTATTAGCCAACCGTAAGTTAAAGGACATTTTGTTCACATGCTGCCCGTGCACTTAGTCAGATAATTTCATCATAAATATCAGTTCCTATTTCTTTATTTACAAAAATTGGCACTTAGCTTAAACTGATAAGGCAACACGAATTTCACTTCCTGAATTGTAATCTTACATTTAGTTTTTCTCTGGTGCCTGAAGTTATATATCTATCTCAATACTCAGGACAGTATGTTAACTTTATTTTGAAAAATTTAAAGGCCTACTATACTTATTTATGTGCTGGACTTTTATTTTGGTGTAAATATATTGTGGTCTTAAAACTAAAGGAAGAGGGGAAACAAGTTGGTGGAAATTGCTAGAAATTAGGTGATGTTTTAAAATGAGAGTATTGGTTGGTTAGTGGTTGCTATAGTGACATAAAGGTGAAGTGAATTGATCATTTTGAAAGTTGAAGGATTGTGAAAGTAGGGTTTGTAACTCAGGGTTCCCACATTTAAAACAAGCGTGTTACAATTTATATATTTTAAATTTCTAGTTTTTAACAGTCCCTGCCCTCTAGCTTTCAGAAATGTTATAATTTATAGGATAGGTTTAAAATGTTAAATTTCTTTGCTTGTTTGACCCTATATTTCGATATCCTAATTATTTACTGCAATGAGTTTATACGTGCTTTTTACAACTCTCAGACCAGAGCAGATTTTTGCCGTCATCTTCAGCTGGCATTCTAACAGTGCATGTCCTGATTATCGAAACAAACAAATGAAAACGCTTTATAATCGGCGACAGACCTCACACTTATTTTGACCTGAAGAGCTGCTGCTCTGTATTGGGGCAAGACATGTTTTGCTCAAATGCATGGGATAAAAATCAGGTACATGGCCTTTATTAGGTCAAATTGTATAGAAAATAACCTTTTATATTTTCCTAGAAAGAGATTTATTGAAAACTGTGGGAACCCTGATCGTGAATGGACAAGAATGTGGATCGAAACGTGATATGAGTGTTCGTGTTTTGTTGCGAGGAAAGAGGAATTTCACGAAGGCGTTGTCAGAAAGCTGAGATATGTAAGAAAAGAAGGTTTAGGACGAAGAGCTTGAATTGAACGGACATTTTTTATTGTGCGGATTTGAGAAGTATTAAGAATGATCCACTGTACAGACTGTGCAGCATGAGGAGCTATTGATGTGGGATTAACCAGCTTTTGTTAAATTGTAATGGATTTCTACTTCATAACAATCAACCAAAACATTATAACGTTACAAAGAGTAATTTGTCCTCATATTTGTATGTGTTCTGATCGTGAAAAATGGGAGAGTTTTTGAGCAAGTTTGATCAAATGTGATGGCTACACAACTGGGTCAGAGCACCTCCAATACTGCAGCTCTATCGGGCATGTTTCCAGTCTGTAGAAGTGCTGTAGACCTTGGTTTAGTCCAGTGTAGGAACTGCTTTAGTCCTAGATCTTGTGGTAGACCTGGGTTAGACCTGGTGAAGTCCTAGTTTAGACCTGGTTTAGTACCAATCTCTTGTTTTTTTTTCTGTCTGCACTGTCAATCTAAAATGCTTTAGACCTGGTTTAGTCTTGGTGTAGTCCTAGTGTTTCCAGTCTCCAGTGGTCAGTATCTGTCAGTGCGGTCAGTGTTTAGTTCTGGTTTAGTCCCATAATAGACCTAGTTCAGACTTGAATTAGACCATTTTTAGAGGTTTAGAGCTGGTTTAGTCCTGTTTTTTATTGCAGCCCTTGCCAGGTCTTCCCATCTGCTGTGGTTCATATCTTAAAGTGCTTTAGGTTTAGACCTAGTTTAGACCTGGTTTAGACCTGGTTTAGACCTGGTTTAGCTTAGTTTAGGGCAGTTTTTGTGAGTTTTTCTGTGTCTACAATGGTCAGTAATGTCAAAAGTTCCCCAAGGAAGGAACAATAGATCTTTAGAACAGGTGTAGTGAAGAGTGTACCTCAAATTGCTGAAACGTACTCTATAATCTAATAGAGAGCTATGTTAATCAGTTGCATTTGAAGTTTCATTATAAATCAGTTAGTCATAATGTTTTGGTTGATTAGTTTAAGATTGCAGGCAGCTCTGGGCCCATTCCCTCTCATGTTATGAGGTGCCAAACATAAAGTCTATTGTATCCACGTTGTATTGTTGTGGTTGGGACAATAGCTGTTCTTTCTTTGTGGAGAGGGGCGTCCACAGCCACTGATCTCATCTCCATTGAATGCTGTCATCGAAAAACTGTACAAAATCAAAAATAAGGCTGCTTAGAAAGAACTCGGTGCTTGAAAGTAAAGTTTGTATATTTATGCTGCGTTCATGTGGTCTTTGAAAAATTATATAATTAAATATAAAAATGCATTATGTTGTGGTGTGATATGACAGTAGTTTCTAAGGAACTACTTGGACAATTTAGGATTACAACAATTTGTCTTAGCTTCCTCTTTGAGGTTAGGTAGGTTACCATAGTAATTACCAAACTGTACCAATTTTGCTAAACAGTTTTTGTACAATCTGGACAGTGTTCTTTTAGAATAGACACCGGATAACCACTGACTTTTGATTTCATCGAAATAAGTATTGGTTCGTATTAGTATACGGTTGTGCAATTAGTCAGATTTTAAGATTGACTCATTTTTATTAGGAAATACTGAGCTTGGATCTTTTTAATGGAGAGGTTCACAGCCAGTCAGTAAAAGCATGTGGTTTGGAGCAGAGTTCAGACTGTGGAGGAATAAATAGTGTTTTTGTGTTAAATGATTAAATTAACATTGAAGACAAAAAAAGCTATTCATTTTTTCTATTTTCCAGCCTTTCTAGCATTCAGTTAAATCGAATTGAACTATTATAGACAGCAACACCACCATAACGTCATTAATAATTTGTATATAGCACAGTTAGTTGTCTGGCAACTCGATCAAACCCTTTGCAGACCACACGAAAGCAGCATATTGGTATTTAATGAAGCAGGGCCAGTACTACTTCCTGTTTGGTCCACCACTGTAAAAGGAAGTCACTTGAAACAGTCGCTCATCTCAATACTTTAATTTAAACGATATAATAAAGATTTCATTGTAGACCTCTTTAAGTTTGTATATAAGGATTGTGTGTGTCAACTATAGCTCCTGTTCATGAACTAAAAGCTGGTGATTTCATACAGCATTGTGCAAATGGCTTCAGCAGGTTTGAAATTAATTTACCACGCTGATCGCAGGATGATTTCAAGATATGACGCTAAAATTTTTACACTGTTTTTGATGCATTAAATATTTTGATCTAGTGTGTCTATTTTGATCTGGAGTGTAGCGGTTCAAATCCTACTCTCGACATAAAAACATCGGTAGAGTGATCAGATCCACAGACCTACAGGATTATGATTATCTTGAAGGCCTATTTTATACAACACAATATACATTTCCTTTTGCGTTTCCTACCTGTTAAAGCCTTTTGCACCGTGCTGTATGTTTAAAACGCACGTCTAATTGAGTTGTACTGTATTGAATGGTCACATATATTGCTGGTATAAGTCTCCATTGTGTCTGTGTCACTTGACCATGACTTATGCTGCGGGCTGGTTTGTTTTCATTCTGTTATTTTCAGCGTTCGTGTGAGAGTCCATTGTTTTGAATAGGTGGGGCTGAGTCGGGGAGCCCCTACAGTAGTTTAGTCATACTATAAATATAAACAGAGGAAAGTGGAGCTATTTTTGTTTGTTTTGGAGGCCACTTCAGATCTTGCATTGAAATCTGTAAACCTATAAGAGCATAACATGGCAGCTTGGGAATTGGAATTTGATGCATTGAAAATGAATGGGAGTCCAATTTGAAATGAAAATTGTAGATTTCTTTTTACGGTGAATGGTTAAGTCAAGCATTCAATAAAAAAGTAGTTATATTGTTAAAAAAAGACTTAGTACATACTGTATTTCTAAAACCTAAATCAAGATCAAACCAGGATTATAGCCAGACTAAACCTTGAGTATATCATTACAATACTAACCCAGAATCAAACCAGGACTGTACTAAGCCTAAAATTGTTCCAAACCTAGACTAAACCTCCAGTAATATATGTTTATTAAACTAAGCAAGAACCAAATCAGGTCTAAACCAGGACTAAAGCAAGACTAAAGCAGGACTACAGGATGAGGAGTCTAACCCAGAACTAAACCAGGATTATACAGACTGAATCAAATCTGGACTATAACAATATTAATATATCCTAAACTAGAACTAAGCAAGGACTAAACTAGGTCTTAACCAGTGAAACAGGAGCAAAACCAGGACTAAACAGGGGCTTAACCAGGACTAAAGTGAAATAATATCAGGAGTAGAACATAAATGCTGACCGGGGAATACATATTTAGTATGTAGTATACAAGATCTTTTTTTTTTTTTTCAAAATCTTGAGTTCAGATTTTGATGCAAGGTCTGATGGGAGCTTTAGAGACTGAAAGATCTAATAAAAGTCAAAACCAGCCACAAGCACAAATGTATTGTTCACGAAATGTTTGTTTATTTTGCATTTTATTTTATATCTATTTTTATTATTGTTTGATTGTTATTGAGCGATGATGATTTGAAAAGACTAAAAAAATAATCTGTGTTGTACTCTGATCTGCTGCAGGCTAATTCCTAGAGGCATTACGACGCAAAACTGGAAAATACATTAAAGATTGTAGAAAATGTATCATGGTGTCTTGTGTTCATTATTAATTAAGGTTTTGCTTCCCCCTACAGGTATAAACTATCAACAACTGTGATTCTTTGATCGCTCTCATAAAAGGTGTATTGTGACACTTTTCTGGTATTTGTAACTGCTTGTCCATCAGATGGTCATTTTAAGTATATAATAAGGAACTTTTCAGGTAAAGCAATAACATCTATAACACCTCCATGGAGACAAGCAGGTGGCATACCCTATACTAGATAGAATACATTGTGCATCTTGAATTCATAATTCATAACATTTTACATAGTTTATTATGCACTACATATTCCATACTTTACTTATTTGGGTAAAAGTTTTTGTTCCTCTTCCCACTGTGAATAAATCTACAAGCGACAAAAGCTTTGAGTTGACCAAATTAAATAATTTGTACACTTGTATTTCTTGCACTGTTCCTTTAGATATGATTGTTATTTATTTATTTATATATTTGATCTTTTGTGTAAATCCTTTGAAAAAAGCAGACTTTGTGCACAGTTTAATGTTTTGCCATTTTAATAAAATTAACCTCAATTTACAAAGGCAGTAATTCTAACATCAGTAGCAGTTTTCTCAAATACATTTTTACTATCACTTGACTAATTTACTTGTACCACAACTTTGTATTACTATTAGCTAGGGATGTAACAATAACTAAAATATTGTGATACTGTATCGACAAAAGTCTTAATAATATTGTGGGACATCACAATATATCAAGCCTTTTTGCTTAAATGAATAATTATTGTGCAGCAATGGCTAAAAAGCAGATAGAACAACATAGACCATGATCCTTTGCTCTGTATTAGTCCAGACGTCATGAAGAAATAACTGTTCTAAGCACTTTTAAAGGACATTTTAAAAGGAAAAAGTATTATTCATAGTTTTCTTAGTCTCCAAAAAAATCGTACCGTGAGATACAATATCGTGAAAATATCGTCAGATTAGAGATTTGGATATCGTTACATCCCCACAATTAGCCAACATTATTTTGAAGTAACAGCACTTTTAGGCTACTTGAATTTTAATACATTTTAAGTAGCCAGTTAAATATGTGGCCACTCTCTCCACGTCATACCCTATAGAAACAAAAACAAAACAAAAAAAGAAACAACGCTTGAACTTTTATGTGCATGGTCATTTATTGCGATTCAGAAATCCTCCAGCAGATGGCAGACTCTTAGTAAACATGAAGAGGGAATGATGCGGCAGTACATTCAGCAGATACAGCGCTAAAGTGCAAAGATGCTACATACGTTTGAGTCACACTGAAAACCACCTGAAAAGGTTCACATGCTCACATCAAAACAGTTTATATGAAATAAATCTGCTGAAAAATATACAAACTCGCTCAAATTGTTTAAAAACAAAAAACCTGGCAGATTCACTACACAGAGCATATGTTTTCATTTTTGAATAGTTATTAGCTTTGGGTAAGTGCTAGCGATGGAAGACAGAACAGCAGCATGCTAGCAGTTCAATATTTTGTTAACATTTGTATATTTTTGCATATTAAAGTGCACTGAGCGACTTTTCTGGTGGATTGTAATCATTTGCTAGTCTGCATGGAGATGTTAATAGCTTTGCCTGGAATATTTCACAATATGTTATTAAACGTTCCGCATGGAGATAAGCAGGCGCTACCAGACCAAGTTACAGACAGTGTTGGGAAGGTGACTTTTAAAATGTATTCCCCTACAGATTACAGATTATATACCCCAAAATGTAGTTTGTAACGTAATCCATTAAATTACTTAAAGTGAGAAATGTAATTGATTACTTTGGATTACTTGATATTGTTATGCTTTTTAAAACTACATGAGTGTACCAACCACATCCTGAAAATTCTTGTTCTCTTCAAATTCTCTGTTGAGCCCAAGTCTCCATGAATAAGCAACTGTTTGCTGTAGAGAAGCAAAGACCAGGAAATCATAACATAATTGTCTGCTAAAAGAAAATAAAAAACCCAGTCTTTACTTAAGCATATAAAAAATATTATTGATAGAGAAATGATTTCTATATGAGATCACTGCTGCCTTAAATTATGTTCACTCTACTGTTAGGTGTCATATTGTTTAGACCTAGTTTAGGCCTGGTTTAGTCCTGATTTAGTTCTGGTTTAGTCCTGGTTTTAGACCTGATTTTAGTCCTGCATTAGTCCTGTTTTAGTCCTGCTTTTAGACCTGGTTTAGTCCATCTTTTAGACCTGGTTTAATACTGGTTTAGTCCTGGTTTTAGACCTGGTTAGTCCTGCTTTTAGTCCTGGTTTTAGTCCTGGTTTAGCCCAAAATGTGAAAACCGGAAAATACCGCCATGTAATCCATTTATTTCAACGAAGTAACTGTAATCCAATTACCACTCACTGAAACAGTAACTGTAACTGAATACAGTTACTCATAATTTGTATTCTGATTACGTAATCCCGGTACATGTAATCTGTTACTCCCCAACACTGGTTACAGGTCAGATCTGTAGAGAGGCGACCCTGCTCACAGTAAGATTTAGTTGTAAAAACTGAAAAATTATGAAATAATGTTCATACTGTGGAACATTCCAGGCAAAGCAATAACATCTTCATGACTTAGACTTAGGCAAACGTTTTTGATCCACAAGGGAAATTATTTGGAAAATGAGCAGGGAAATGTAAAAGTTCCGTAGTACACCTTTATGTTCTCCATCTTGAATGGGAAGAGCAGACAGGAGCGTACTGAAAACTCTTATAATAAAGTATCTAAAGGCTTTTTTTTTGACAATTAAAAAATACTATTGGCATGTAATTATTTTTGGAAGAAAGTACATTCAACTTCTCTGATGTACTTCTTTGGAAAATATTAACGACTATTATTAACAAAACATTGGACCAAGCCAAAAGTGCAGAAATTGGAACTTAAGGAATGATAGCGTGAGCATCTTTACCATTAGGGGTTGACACTTATTGTATTTTAGAAGTTAAGCAGACAGCCAAACCATTTGCAATTAGCCTCAACATGCTCAGAGTATTGAGCAAAACAATGTAAACTCAACTCACACAATAATGTAGCTTCAGTCAAAACAAAGCATTAGTTTAAACACTTGTAAACATTTGATGCAACATGATTTCATTCATGTTTAAAATCACTTTGCTGCATTTTAGAGCTCAGACATTTACTTAAGCCAGTGATTCAAGACAAAGATACCAATAGAGGAGCCAGTATGAGTATGTGGCTCTATTCACATTTTTGTAAGAAAAATACATAATTAAAGTTTTAATAACCTTCCTTGCAAAATTTCTGGTGCTTTCTACTTGTGACAATGTTAACTTAAAACAATTCTTGATGAAGTGTGCTGTGTACCCTAAGGGAAATATGTATCGTTGACTATACTCCAACTTATATAGAATTTGTTGTGTTTTGAACGGTATGTTGTTAATATACTTGAATTCAACATGTAAGTGTTTATGGATATTTTGTTTTTAATGATCACGTGTTTGGGTTCATGGCCCCTATAAACAGTCACACCTGCTGCTCATTCTGTCAGCCCTGATAAAGACTCATAAGTAGTCGAAACCCGCTCATGACCATCAATAAATACACCGCAAATAAGAGTGCCTCTGCCATCCTCTTTCTACTCCACAAGAAGTAATAGCCCTCTGGTCTGATGAGCACCTGTAAATTCTGATCCAGTGCAGCACTCCAATATCATAATTTTTACATAATTAAAGTGTGTTTTAATTACTGTAGAAACACAGTAGATTGCCTTAACTGATTTGGTGTGTGTTTTGATTTGGTACACTAGTATGGAGCACAACAATGATTGCCTGCATTTTCCATTCATTTTTCCCATAAACTTTTTAATATTCCAAATATTATGAGGGGATATAGCCTGAACTTACACGAAGATAATCTGAAATACAGTGAAATTTGAAATTGAAAAACTGGATCCATAATAATTTGATAAAGACAATATATTTTTTAAGAATCACTGGTTTAAGATTCATAATTAAGAAGCTGTTACCTCCTAAAACCCCCTCTCTCTCTACCTCCCCTCTCTACCCTCTCTTAAGACTTAATACATTCACTACTCGCTTTAATAATAACTCAAAACTCCTGTATAACCCTGAAGTGGTTTTCGATGGAGGGCGGCTCATCTTCGAAGTGTAGTTTCTTACTGGGGCAGGCCCCAAACTCCTCTAGCGTTTTCACAAACAGCTCATGCTCCCTCCCCACCCACGCCCTCATTGGGTCGCATACCTCGTAGGGCGTCACGTGGGCGTGCACCGAAATCCCCGAAGATGCTAGCTCTTTCAGTACTTCCTTATTCGTCACCCAAGTCTCGCTACCTCCAGGATGCCCTCCATCCAGCCAAAACATGTCCGAAATACAATGCACGAACTTGGACATGAGAGGGTCAGACTGGGCCCCCGGGAGCTCGTACACTAGCTGGTTCAGGACCACACAGCCCTTACTGAAGCCCACCAGAGTCAGAGAGAAGCCGGGTGGGATGGTGGTGTCAGCGCTCTCTGGTGGTGGAAGAGGATGAGGCAGGCTGGCACGATTCATGGCATTACTCAGCAGGGATCTGAAAGAGCGAATGCATACGTTAGATGCAGTTTACCTAATTTTTTCTCTGAAACTTGTATATTGATACTGTGCATTCCTTTACATTTGCAGATCTGATACAGTATATGATTCTGTCCTAGGCCTGGCCATAACAGCTTTCTTCTAATACATAAAGTGCTACAATATCCATAAAAAAAAGTAAAAACAACCTGAGATGACAGAAGGCGCCTTGCCCAGGTGCATACGCTGAATGCTCTGGCGCTCCGAACATGTTGCACTGCACAAAGTGTTGGTAGCAACTGAACTTGTGCAGGTACATCCTCGAGGCTCGGACCACCCATATGTGACTGTCCGGAAACCTACGCCCCAGCACCTGCCCCACCTGCTCCAGGGACCAGCCTATCCACTGAGCTGCATCCGAGTGAAGGCTCATCTCCTCCTGAAAGTTCTGCAGAGATACACAATTAGTCAGAAGATAAGGGTCACTTTAATGCTTTATTACGTAACTTTTCTGGTGGAGCTTGCCTCTATGGAAATGTCATGTTGCCTGGAATGTTATTCCACAGTATGGCATTAAAAGTAGTTCTCTATCAGGTTGTGTCCATGGAGATATTCAAGTCTTGAATGTTTAACATTAAAACTAGAGATCAACTGATTTGTTTTTTTTCATGGCCAATGCACATACTGTTTGTTTAGAATCCAGAGCAACCGATAGTCAATAAGCTCTGACAATACTTTTGGGCCAATAAGTAGGGTTGATTTTGATTATTTTCCCCAAATTCTGAAATGTACATTTACTACACAGCTTGTTTTTATTACAAAACTATATTTTGTGCAGTTATCGCTTTACATTTAAGTGAAATAAAGCTTTTCGACTTTTTGATATTTTTAGGCAGCAGGTTGGCTGCCTAATGGTATATTTGTGCAAACAAATATGCAAGTATGATACATTTAATTAAACAGTGTGGAACATTTCAAGCAATGCAAAAATATATCATTACAGACATATACCACAAGAGCGTTACAATTGATGTTCCTAGTCCAGATTGAGAAAAACTTCTTGCTTCTGCTTCTGACCCATCAATCAATCCAGCAGAGGGCAACTGCAGTGCAGCACCAGTGACCCTTCTACAGATTCTGAAATAGGTTTCAAATGGCAATAACTTTATGCCCAAAGTTGTCATTTTCCCTATTTTGCAATTCATGGAGAAAGAAATGCTCACACATTTGTGATGCCATCTTGTTAATACCATTCCAATTTATAATGATCTCAAAGGCACAATATTTTCAGTATATTTTAGCCCAGAATATTTTGTAGTATTTTAAGAATTTCCTTTATTTAGTTTATAACTGAATCCAAATAAAAAAATTAAAAAATAAATCAGCTGCAATACAATAATAATACCAATGTTTGTACTGTGAACACAGACATGCTGGTTTAGGAAGGATTACAGTTGAAACTCTTAATGCACTTATCCTTCTACATGATCCTGCATTTAGCTAACAGGTTATGACCACAGCATGAGTTAGGATAGGAGTATAAATAGAACATTTCTAAAATTGCAAGAGTGTATTTTGTCTTATCAATATGTCCAAAGTCTACCAACTGAAATGAGCCTTTAAAAGTACATATTTACGAAGATTCCTCACATAAAATAAGTTAGTCAGTAACGACATGACATGTGGGACAAATAACCTCTCTTAATTTTCTAGTTAATGTTCAGGTAGGGTCACGAGTGTAGAACTGTGTGTGCAATTAATTAACTTTTTTTTTTTTTATCATTATTACAAATCTTGCTCTAATCAAGTTTAAATGGATTTGAAAATGAAGTACACTGTTCTGAATGATACTGATGCTGGGGTTTCAAATCATACAGCACAAAACATCACTAAGATGATAAAGCCTCTTCTAGGACTTTTACATTTGTCAACATAAATAATCGTATCAAATAATCGTAACTGATTTTTGTTTAAGTCACATAATAGTGATTGCATTATTTTACCCATCGTAGAGCTGCCAAAATATGAATTATGCACAATTTAATGACTTAACACCTAATTATTATTAATCTTTATTTCTTCTACTCGTCCTGTCCTCACCTGAATATCCCCATGGAAGAACACCACATGTTTGGATGCACTGCTGTTGTCTTGTGTTTGTGATCGGAGTAGCAGCAGCTCGTTGGTTCTGCTCGGGTCACATCCAGGCACTGCACCCAGCCTCTGCAGCTCCTGAGGCGGGCTGTCAGGCGCACAGCGTCCCGGGTACCTGATGATGATCCCAAACCCCTAGATCCAGAGCACGTTGATCCGAGTAAACTGCTCATGGTCTTGGCTACAGATGCGAGTGTCACTCCCCACGCCACAACACGAACAGATAACATTAAATGGCACCAAATTAATGATTTATTTTAAGCCTGATTGCTCCATGCCGTAGTAGGCTAATGCTAAGAGCTAGCGATTCTTCAAAGTAGCAACGTAGACTCGATCGCTTACGTAAAACGGTACGCAATCAGACGCTATTTATAAAAACATATTTTAATGTATATTTTATCTACATCTTCTGCCATTTTATATTTTTAGAGTATCGGAATCAGGCTGCATGTTTATTGTTTATTTTGACAGCTCTACGTTTGCGTTGTATCCACGAAGAGGCGCTGTCCGTCACTGTTTAGGCGTTCCCCAAATGCTATTAACGCAAATGAGAATAACTCAATACTTCCTGGTTGGTTTACAGCCTATAATAAATTCTTAGCTTAAAATACTTTCAGTTTAATAACACCATGCCATCACATTGATATTTAATGCATTAAAATATATATTGGTATTGTTATACACGGTGCGGCATACAAATTACTAATATTTCCGCTTACTTTGACGATTGGATTTAACTATCTTTGTACGTTCTTCTCTTTCTTTATCTCGCAAATAAACGTGTCCATAGTGTATGGTCCATGGGTCCATGCTAAAGTTGTATGAACGTGAACGCGTCATTTCATAACAAAATATATTGTATACCATTCGTTCTGTGAAGTGCAACACAGCCGCTTCTGCATCAGGGTTAAGTACTTACTGCAGGTACTATTTCATTTGCATGTCACATTGTAGAAAGTTAGCTTCTTAATTTTGTACTTTGAACATGTTTTGTAACTGTTTGCACTGCAGATAGATTCAGATATAAACCAGGACAAATGGCCAGGACACACAAGGGCAGATTCAAAATTACAGTACATGTATAACTTTACTTTTGAGCAACTGACAGAAATGTTTAAAACTCTTATTAACTCTTTTATAACTCTGCTTCAGTCCTATAAAATGAAATGAATGATACAATTTGTAAGATTTTTGCCAAGCTAATACTGTATAGCCTACAAATTAAACAAGTAAAAGTCTAAGCAAGCTTATAACAACAGTTTATTTAAAAAGTCTTGTAGAATCAAACTAAAGACTGGGATGCAAATGTCTTATTGTTATTATGTTATGTGTTATTGACTATAACATAAATCTCCACTTTAGACTGTACACTGCAATTGCCTAAATATCCAGCACCTTAATGATGTAACTTTATCTGGCAGCAGAATGGCATCTACATCTGTGGGCAGACGCCTCGTTGCTTGTCTCCTCAACATCTCTGAAGCTCGAAGGAAAGATCTGGTGGAAACTGTGGCCAAAGCAGCTCTGTATGACCCTAAAGGTAAAGATTTGAGTAGCATCAAACTTAGTGACTTTACCTATTTGAAGATGATCAAATTCTTCACAGACCTGTGGATGCTCTCATTGTGTCCTTGGGCAAGCCACTAAATTCCCCTTGTTTGTTTATCTATGCATGAGTTGGTGATGGCACGAGAGGCAGAACATACCCCTTCTGTGCCCCGATAGAGTGTGATGTGAAAACGAGAACAAAAGTGGTTATAAGCTAGGATTAAAACAGAGTTATTGAAAAACAAATATATATAACTGCTACTATAATTTTAAAATTAGTCCTTACGATCTAACTAGCTGTGAAAATTGAACTTTCAAGGCCATTTTTTTTTCAGAAAAGTGAGTTTAAAAGTATTTCTTCTTAACTCCCTGGAATGTCACTTATGCCCCAAAACAGGTTAACCAATGTAACCCATTTAGATTTAAACCAGGATTAAAGCAGGTCTATAACACATCTTAAAACAATAAAAATACCCACATCACAATATTGATTAATTCATCTTAATTTGAACACATCTCCCCCTGCAGGCCTCAGAAGAGAAGGCACCACAGTTCTGAACATTTTTAACGACCACGACTATAACCGCTCCGTCATCACTATTGTGTCGGCCATCGACTCCATCCGTGAGTATTGATTTCTCTTAAATTATGGCTGTCCAATGCAAAACTGACATACAAGTATTTTTCTATGTATATTTATTAGTTTTATGCCCCCAGACCTGGTTGAACTACTAATTATAATGTAATGTTAAATTATTTTTTGCATTGAATTATTTATGTTCACAACTTATAGACATTTTGTACAATTGACAGATTGGCTAATGCACTTGATAATGTAATAATTATTTAAAAATCTTATCTGGACAATACATTTAATTTACATTAATATTTGATTTAGTTAACCTGATAAGAGTGATGAGGTGTGTTACCGTGTTCACCCACAAACCAGCTGGAAGCTTTTTCAAACTTAACCTGCACTCAGACTGTTTTTGTGTTGTTGTTTTTTTGTGCCCTGTGCAACATTTCTCACTTTTATTACAATGTATCAGGCTATTTGGAAAAGGAAACATAAAAAATATATACTGTGTTAACACTTCTGGTGTTTGTTTGTCTCCATGGAAATGTTATTGATTTGTGTGAAATGCTCCACAGTATGGCATTAAACCTAATAAACACATGTTTTGTTGTTTGTTTTTTTTACTGATAAATGCAATAAATGCAAGATGGATAAATTTAACAATATACTGTGGAAATTCAAGACATGGCCATAACATCTCCACTGAGACAGGCAGATGACAGACCTATAATGCTGTTGATATAAATAAGTGTATAATATGTGTGTGCAAATGTCTTTCTTGTTCTATAAAAAGCTTGTAGTGATCCCTTTGAGGCAGAAGTCACGGTTGTGTGGTGGTCTGCTGCTTCTCTCAATCCTCAGGGAGCAAAAGTAAAATCCTGTAATAGGCTTTGTCAGGGATTTAAATACAAAAACTGCAAGAAGAACATTTTCCATCACAGTTTATCACACTGAGCTCCATATACAGAGCAAGCACACTGACAGACTCAATACAAAGTAGTAAAAATGTGCAAATCCTTCTTTTTATTTTGTGACAATTGTCATACCACCAACAATTATACCTGACATTGTCATCTAGGCTTCTTATGTGATTGGATGTCCTCAAGGCTGTGAATCATGTTTCACTGGCCTTGTTCACATGCACACTGAAAACCTGATTATAATCTGATTTCTGCACCTTTAAGATTACTTAAATGAAATGTCAATCAAATACAGTTGCTGAGCAAAATGTAAATGATATCTGTTACCTCTTCATAAACATACTTGGAGCTGTATTTTTTCATTCACACATGTATGAGTAACCCTTTATTTTTAGGATGTCTATATCTCCAAAGCTCAAAATGCTCTGTTCCACTTTGTGATGTCATGAAGTTGTTGTTTTCCAGGGATGAAATTGTCCAAATTATTCTAATGAAGGTGTATTTGTTTAAAAACACAGTGAAGCACTTCCTGTATTACCACATGACATCACAAGGTGGAGCAGAGTGTTTTCTGTCTGAGAGAAGTACACAGTCTAAATATACAGGGTTTGTATGTATGTTCATTGTAGTGCAGAAATGTCACACATTTATATCTTTATTTCATAGTTTACTCTTTTTTCATTTCTTAAGCATTTTGACTGTAAATAATATACTCAATTTTAAAATGTTGCATATCCTTTTATCAAAATTCCTGATATTTTCCGAATCTAACTACCTCAAATTGCAATATACATTAAAAAGGGAATTAGACTTATATGCAAAATTTTGTTAGTTTGTTTTGTTTTTCCAGAGCTAAATACTTAAAAGTGTATTTGTATGTTTGTCATAGGGGAGGTAGTACTTTCTGCCTGCGAAAAAGCCTGTACTCTCATAGACATGCGTTCACACAGAGGAATTCACCCGTGCCTCGGAGCTGTGGACCTCATCCCCATTTACCCCCTCGGTGAAGAAGTCCTGCCCCAAGACTGTGCCAAAGAGGCCAGAGGTACAATATTTTAATATTCTGGTCTTCGACTGTATAAAAGAAGTGGACTAATCGAGTGTGACGTCACCCATAGCGTTCAGCGCCACTCAAATGAGGCTCGTGATGTAGCATCACGAGCCTCATTTCAGTCAGAGCCTCCTGGTGAACTTCCTATTTGGCACGTGGCGGCTAGTGCGTTAGCTATGACCACACCTATATATACATTATATATGGTTCTGGTCTGGTTGTTTATTGTTTGAGCACAAGAGCTGAGTCTCAAAGCCCATTTCCAAATTAATAAGTAACTGACAATGTAACCTTCACATCAGCTTGTCGGCATAGCAACCAAGTTTCACATATATGTAACTTTTCCGGTGGAAGGTCTGTCACTTGTTGTTTCCATGGAGATGTTATTGCTTTGCACGAAATGTTTCACAATATGGTATGAAACTTATCCATCTTCATGGGAACAAGCAGGTGACAACACAGTTGCAAAGTTACAGGTAAAAAGGGAACCGCATTTTCATGTCAAGGCCAGACAAATGTGATTGTGCAATCAGATTCTTTTTTTTTTTAGTGACATGTTTTTCAGTCCACTATGATACTTTTTCCAATTTGGACGGTGACCAGACTCACATCTTTGTAAAGTCTTGAAGAAGTGTATTATTTTGGATCCCAGGCAACACACACAATGTATATTGAGCCCAAAAAATACTGTTCCAAGTTCCAGCTATTATTTAGTGACAATAAGACAGTATAATAATTACCGTGACAGGCCTCCAATCAACTGTAGTAGGTCTATCAACGTGATGATATTAAAGAAGGTACTAATGTTGTATTGGAAATAACATTTGTCTTAAAGTAGGTAATTAAGATAGTGATACTGAAATTGAGTATTGAAATTTTTCCTTAGTATCAAGGCTGACAAACCTGTACCCGGGTTTGGCGATGGTGCCTGCTTGTCGCCCTGATGATAGATAAGTAGATGTGGAACATTTCAGTCAAAGCAATGACATCTCCACACAAGAAACGTTTTATAGTGCAACCTTTAAATAAACCAAACTAAAGAGTGTATAACTTGATTTAAACCTTTGCCACTTCAGTGATTACCACTACCTTGGACACCTTTTAGCATTATGTGTTCTCGGCAGTGATTGTAACTATGTGGAAATGGTGATTGACTTCAGGAAGAAGAGGACACCAGTAGAGCCTGTCACCATTCAGGGCCATGAGGTGGAAATAGTGGACTGTTACAAGTACCTTAGAGTCCATGTGAACAACAGGCTGGACAGGAGGGACAACAGCAATGCTGTGCACAAGAAGAGCAGTAGACTGTACTTCCTAAGAAAGCTCTGGTCTTTCAATGGGGGAAGCATGTCACTGGAGATCTTCTACCAGTCTGTGGTGGGCTGCACCCTGTACTTCACTGTGGTCTGCAGGGGGAGCTGGGGGAGCTGGAGACATTTGTCACAGTGAGGGACAGGAGGACACTGGACAAACTGCTCTCCATCATGGACACTCCTGCTCCCCCACTGCACCAGACTATAGAGGGACAGATAATACTCCCTACAACTGTACAACAACTCCCCCACTGCACCAGACTATAGAGGGACAGATAATACTCCCTACAACTGTACAACAACTCACCCACTGTACCAGACTTTAGAGGGACAGATAATACTCCCTACAACTGTACAACAACTCACTCTTATGTAACAGATAAGCCTATGTTCTGTCAATCATATCATCTTTGCCCTGTTTCCTTATGACCTCTTGTATATAACTGTGATATACTGTATTTATATTACAATACAATACAATACAATACAATATGTACTTATTGTACATACATTTATAGAATTATTGACACTAATCACTTGCTATTTTTATTGCTACTTATTTAGAAGTTTATTGCATTTTTTATATATATATATTTTTTTTTTACTGTTATTTTAATATACTGTGATGTCTGAGCTACTGTGTCCAAGTAATTTCCCTTGTGGATCAGTAAAGTCAGTCTACATATAAACCTAAATCAAATGATTTTTCTCAGAACATCAGAATACTCAGAAAAACAGACTGCTGCATAGAAAACTATTATTAGGCATATTTGCATAGAGAAATGCTGCAATGTACTGCATATATTTACAACAAAGTGACAAAGCTAAACTTCTTTGAATTGTGTCTGTTTTATCCACAGTTTAGTTTTCTTGCAACGATAAGACTGTAAGAGAATATAGTTAATCTAGAACTATTTCAATAAGCCAGGAAAAGGAGGACTAAACCAGGACACCAGCCAACAAGGTCAAGTCGGGCTCAGGACTAAAATGATGCAAACTTAATTTAGTCCTCAGAATCTGAATAAGCAAAATAAATAAATAAATAAATAAATAAAAGGCAATAAGGTGCTGGGACCACGTAAGATGCCTGCATAAAATAAGGTTTTGGAACTAAAATAGACCTAGTCCTGGTTTAGTTCTGGGACAGTCTACATTAAATTGGGGCTTAAGTTTGATGAACCAGAAAAGTTACACAGTACATCTTTAACAACCAGAAAGTCAGAATTGGATTTTGACCACCAATTTAACCCTGAACAAAAATATCAACGTATTAGGCTAAAATGTGGGTAGGGATGAGCGATATATTGGTTCCAATTTCACTAACGGATGATATCAGATAGTTTTTGCAGATACCTGTATCAGCTGATATTTGGCATCAATATTTTTTGCATCTGTCAGTCTCTGTGTTCCCATGTATCCCAGGATGTTCACAGTGCATCAGATTTGTCTCTTTGAACAAACTAGACCAGAGTAAAAATGGAAATAAAAACTCAGACTAAAATATATGTTTACACAATGATGCAAAAAATAGTTTATTTCAAACATGAAAAGTTAACTTGTGGTCTTTATTTAAGATACAGTTGTGGGCCTTTCTTTGGATTTTAAAAGCTAAATAGTCAAAAGCAGCAAGCCAAATATCCGATATCTAGACTGTATCGGCTCAAATATCCTTGTTGAAATGTCTCTACCATTGATACAAAGATAAGATACAGCTAACACTATCCATGCTCTTTTAGTCTTCAAACCACTTTACTAAATAGCTTAATTTCCATCAACATCCCATAATATAGCTTTAATACAGCCTACTTTCCATGTAAATGTCTGTCCTCTCCTCTTTATCCCAGCCCCTCTCTTGTCACTGCTGATGATTAATTACACAGTTTACGGCTCCTTGTGTCTCTGTGTGATCTCTCAGCCTGAGGAGCACTCACAGTATGCTAATATGTGTACTTTGCCTAATAAGAATTGGCAGAGTCTCTAACAAGCTCTGCGCACAAGCACGTGATGATAAGTGGGGCCATAAATTAGCTTTTCCCATGAGAGGTTTGGTCCTATTAGCCCTGTATGCCTCTGCTGACATACACTCAATTTGTGGTTTAACTAACATGTCCAAGCACAGACTTAACTGGTAACGTTGCATGTGCTGACTTGAGGAAGCTAGAGAAGAGCGTGTAGCAGGAATAAAATTGATGTAGGTCTGGTTTGGACCGGGAATAGTCTCCTCTTTAGACACAAAATAGTATTGGTGTAGTTCTAGCTTTGTCCCAATGTTGGCTTGGTCAGTGTAGTCCGAGTTCACTCCTAGTTTAGTCCTGTTTACTGTAGTTCGAGTGCTGGTTTAGTCTGGATGTAGTCCTGCTTTGGTCTATTTATAGTTTTGTTTTAGCCCCAGTTTAGTCCTAGTTAAGGCCTGTGTTAGTTCTGGGTTAGTCCTGTTAAGTACTAGTTTAGGCCTAATTTTTTACTACTCTATTCCCAGTTCATCCAGATTTAGTCTAGTTATAGTCCTGGTCTAGTCCTGGGCTAGGTCTGGTTTGGTTTAGTCTAGTTATAGTCCTGGTCTAGTCCTGGGCTAGGTCTGGTTTGGTTTAGTCTAGTTATAGTCCTGGTCTAGTCCTGGGCTAGGTCTGGTTTGGTTTAGTCTAGTTATAGTCCTGGTCTAGTCCTGGGCTAGGTCTGCTTTGGTTTAGTCTAGTTATAGTCCTGGGCTAGGTCTGGTTTGGTTTAGTCTAGTTATAGTTCTGGTTTAGTCCTGGTCTAGGCCTGATTTCATTTAGTTATAGTCCTGGTTTAGTCTTAGGCTAGACCTGGTTTTGTTTAGACTGGTTATAGTCCTGGTCTAGTCCTGGGCTAGGTCTGGTTTGGTTTAGTCTAGTTATAGTCCTGGTCTAGTCCTGGGCTAGGCCTGGTGTGGTTTAGTTTAGTTATAGTCCTGGTTTAGTCTTAGGCTAGACCTGGTTTGGTTTAGTCTAGTTATAGTCCTGGTTTAGTCCTAGTTTATTCCTGGTTTATTTATAGCATAGTTTTGGTTTAGTCCTATATCATTCTGGTTTAATCCTGGTTTATTCTTGTAAAATTATTAGGAGGTGAGGTTCATAGTGAGGTACGTAGCTCAGTTGTCACCCAAATAATAAACTATTATCAAGAGTTTTTCACTGACCATATGAAATTTTAAATGCAAATATTAAGTATCAACACGTTTTGTTTTGTAGCTGTAGCAGAGGGCCTGACAGAACGCGTCCAGGGCACCAGTGTCTTCCTGTTCGGGTGGGCTGACTCCCCTCTGCAGCGTGGTCTGGCCCAGAGGAGGAAGGAGATGAAGTGGTTTAAGAAGTGTCCGGACTTAAACCAGATCAAACCAGACCTGGGCCCTGCTCCTGAGAGACAGTACGGACTAACAGGTAATGGACATGTAGGCCCGTCACACACATATTTTGAAGAGTTATATATTGATGAAGTAAATATAGTGAAACTAATTTATACCACTGGCACAATAACCCAAGAGCAGATTTAAAACACAAAAACGATTCTAAATTTACAATACTGTTAAAAAACCATGAGCTGTAATAAATAAATAGCAGAATAAAACACTTGAGTACTTAAGTTGCATCTCTCTTAGTTTGTATTTAATCAACCTTTACGTCTTAAATTTTATTAAATAGCTAAAAAATAACCCAAAATTCCCCAGCAGTGCAAAGAAAATAAACCCACTATAAATACTGACATCAAAAAGTATTGTTCCTTCTATCATATATTGAACAATAAGATATCATAAAGTTATTGTAATATAGTTGCATCTAAATGTGTATGTATATGTATTTTGTACCTGCTTGCCTCCATGATGATATTTTTTCTTTGCCTGGACTGTTCCACATTGCATTAAATAATCTGTCTTACTGTCATGCAATTACAGGTGTGTTCTTTATGTGGGTCAAAAATACTATAAACATAGATAAATAATTCTGCTCAATACAAGACAATTTTGTCAAATGGAATTCTAAAATAAAATCCAACAGACCATATCTATGAAAATATATACCGTACAATACATGATACCGACATGACATTTTCCAGTAGCTGTGTTGGTTTTTATTCTGGACTGAGGAGAGGCTGTGTGGTCTCAAAGTGGTCCACTCCACTAAATAATTAAACACGTCATAAATGGATAACTGGTCTATGATAGATTTTCTAAATTCAACACAGTTTTTCCGAGAATACAATTTTACATCTTAGCAGAATTTAGTTTTACACATTTTAAAATTCCTGCTTATTATTGTTGTCATATTTTTAATTAATTAAAACATCTGTAATGGAATAAATCCAAAATAGACATTTAGTGCCATACTGTGAAAAATTCTAGCCAATACAGTCATATCTCCATGGAGACAAGCAGGTGGTGGACCCCTCTTCCAGATATGTTACACAGTGCACCTTGAAGTAAGATTTTCACTGAATGGCTAAGTCACCTGTCTTGCTTCATATAATTTGTCCCTCCTCTCTAAAAATTGCACTTTGTTGTGTAGGTGTTGGTGCCAGCCCTTATGTCATGAACTGTAACGTCACCATTGACTCTCAGGACATTTCACTGGGTCGCAGCATTGCCTCTGCCATTCGAGAGTCCACTGAAGGAGGGATCCCAGGGGTGCAAGTCCTGGCCCTCCCACATGAGGGTGCTGTGGAGATCGCCTGTAACGTAGAAAGTGTTAAAGGAGAACCACCTAGTCAAGAATGGCCTGTTTTTGATATCGGAGGTCAGCCATACTGCCATGCTCCTGCTTCGGTTATCACAAAGCGAGTTTCAGAGTTAGCAGCGGCGAAGGGGGTGGAGACCAAAGGTACGGCGATCGTGGGGTTTACTCCTGGAGAGTGCAGGGGCCTGGCGGAGCTGGCACTGTCCCGGAACATTGGAGAGTTTTGGAGGGAGCAGCGGAGAATTCGAATGTGAAACAAATGAGGAGGACCACTGGGCTACAAAATTCCTATATTAGAAAAAAATGACTCTTGTTAGCTTCAAGTAATTTTATAATGCTGTTACATCCTCAAAAACATACCTGGAGCTGTGTTGTGTTTTGTTTCATTCACACAGGCCTGAATTTACAGGGTTTTTGGGTTAAACATGCAACAAAAAGTCCACCTATGCTTTTGGTGAGAAAACAACATTTTAATATAAATCAGAAAATAGCATAACACAGACCCTCTTTAGACAAATTTCTATTTGAATGGTTGAATTGAGCTAATCACAAAAGCAGCAATTATTTATTAACATTTGTTGTCTATGGATCTCAACAGTCAATGCCTTTTGTGCAATTTTGAATGTAACTCTTACTCTTATTGTTTATGCTGATTTATCAAATACAGGAAGTCAAACTGGCATCTGTAAATGCTATTTTGATGTTACTTCTTGTTTTCTTCCCCTTTTATTATTATGGAGCAAGGCTTACTACTGTGTCAGATGCCCTCCCATCCTTATATGTCCCTTTGTTAATAATCATAATAATAAAAGTATGTATTGGAATGATATAACACATTTGAAGACACTCAAAGGGGCTTTAGTACAGTGCATTATTCTTTCACTCCACATTGTGGTGGTAAGCTGCTACTGTAGTCACAGCTGTCCTGGGGCCGTCCTGGGGCCGTCCTGTCCTGTCCTGTTCTTTCCTGATAGAAGCGAGGCTGTCCCTCCAAACACCAGCACTCACACACACTCTATAATCACACTAGACAATGTAGATGAAGAATTTTGCCTAAGTGCGCCAGAAGTACAGGACCATTCTCCTTTATGTTTGTTGTAAAGCCATTGCTATGTCAAGCTGCACAGAATTCAGGAAGACGCCATGTGTAGCACCACATCAAACTATGTGGAGGTTGCCAGGTGAGCTTTATCTGTGTCTGTGCATATGCCATCATTATTACTGTCTATGTTTTAAATGCAATGATTTATCGAAAAACTGGAAAAAGCAAAAATGCATCAAACAAATGTGTGCAGCCTCATGCCCTGAGTGTGATGAAAGGAGTGCAAATGGAAAGGCCTCTTGAATAAAGTGCAAAACACGCAAATGTTTTGTCAATAAAATGAAGGTTATGATCCCAGACAACATGCTCTTGAAACACAAAAGCACCGCGTGTCTCAAATAAAAGAATCTCTGCAACTTTGAATGAAAATGTGTGAAAAAGCCATCACTGCTGCTTCTGCCAAAGGATAAAACTGAAAAAATGAATGGTTTTTTACACATAATGCGCCTCAGTGAAGGATTTAAAATATACACAAACATGGATTAACGAAATGGAACACAGTGACTCAGTGACAAAAGAATGGAATCCAAACATGAAATATATGGAGGAGGAGCAATGACCTGCTTCAAATACTGGAGTAAATTCTAAATATTTTAAAGCAAGAACATTCTTTGAAAGCTTAGCTTTTAATATTAATATTCTATCCCTTCAACAGATTACACTGGTTTTATTGGTCTGTTCATGCAGACCCAGGTGACAGCCAATGTGAACCTTGTATTATCGTAAAACTGTCTTTAGTTTTGAGCCCAAACCAGTCTAAAAAATGCATTAGCACCAGTTAAAGGAATCACCTCTAAATCCAAGAAGTGAACTACTGTATAAAGTACAGGACCCATTTCTCTGTATTTTGCGACACAAGGGATATTTATTTGAAGGCTATTGCTACATCGAGCCACATTAAACTGGTCTAAACATGGTCCAGATTTTAAACATTGGCACACTTCCCTTTTTGAGCCAATTTTTCAGTCTTGCGACTGTTTTGGGGATCGGAACGACTTTTAGCTTAATCGTGTATGGTGTTTCAAGTTGTATACAGGCAGTAACGAGAACTGATTAATACCTCATGGCCAGCTTCCGATCAGTAATTGTAAGTCGTAAGAATATCAAACCTGCTTAAATCCACTTGCTCGTGAGGGTTGCATCCGAGCATCGGATCGTATAGTGTAAGAACATGAATGGTGAGCTGTGAACTTTTAAACCCTGTGATTGGGGCGTACAGTTTTAGCTGGGGCTGAGTGAAACGATTGAAAATATCGCACAGTGTTGTTGGCGTGTTCCAATTGTAGAAAATAATGACTGGAATCGATCGATTGAAATCACAAAAATATATTCCCTATTCAATACAATTCTAATACAGAGCTCTGGGTCAAATCACTGTCCCTGAAGGCCTATTCTACACAGGATTTACAATCAGGTAATCTGATGCCTGCGTCTGTCCCTTCACCCAGTAATATACATTCACAGAAATATGCAAATGATATGTTGACCAGGTTCACGCCTTGGCTCCTCCTTGAAGCCTCTCCGTTTATGGGAATGACCAGATCTATTTAGGTTTAGTGCCAGCCAGGATGACCCCATGTCAGCTGCTCTGTAAAGAATGTCCTTAAAAAGACACAACCTACACAGCAGTATCTTTAAACACATATATCAGATTTCAGTAGTTAAACATTAATTGTGTAACTTCATTAACAATATATAATATCAGTATTTAATAATTGCATGTGGTATACTCACGGCACTTTATTATTTGTTACGGCCTTCAGTGTGTATCCGGCTTTAGGCTTACTTTACTCTTAGCAAGTTATACTTTGTTAGTTCTTTGTGACAGAAATCTTTACTTTTCATATCGCTGGTTTTAACCTGTCAGGTGTAGTGAGCTTCTGTTGTACAGCACTCGGTGACGCAGATCCAGAGATAGAGGTTGGTTAGTTTACCTAATTTTGTAACCTGTGAAGAAACTGCAAAGGTAAAATATAGGCAGTATACTCCTGAGATTAAATATACAAGCGCTTGTTGAGCACTCCTAGTTTGAGTTGTGTGAAAACATTACTGTAAATGTTACTAAGGATGTCCCTGTGTTTGCAGGTTCGGGAGGCATCTTTTACAGGCAGCACTAAAGTTTTATTATTGAAACATTCATACTGGTAAATTAAATCTTTATTTTTTCCATCATGTAAGCTAAAGTGAAATCTACTTCAGGTCTTGTAACTGTGAGAAAATCATCTGCGGAAACTGTAACAGATGTCAGCCAATGATGTAGTTCTAAGCTAATGTCTTATTTTACTGAATAGTGACTAACCTTTGAGTTTTCAGGTTTTAGTCGGGCGTCTAACCTTAACATTCTAACTCTTCCATAGGTTGGATGTAGGACGTCTTGCAACTGTAAGTCATAAGATTTACCTGCTGCAATTGTAGCAGATATTAACTAATGTAGTTAATGTGACTTGATGTTTTAGCTTAGCAACAGTTTTGTGACTAACCTTTGAGTTTCAGGTATTAGGATTGCATCTAACCTTAAAATTCTAACTCTTCAATAGGTTGTTCCTGTTTCTTTGACACTGTTAAGCTTAATCATGCTGACTTTAATTGCTTTTAGTTGTAAGATAAAACACTTCTATAATATCTAAATGACTAGCAAGTTTTCAAGGTTTGCTGTAGTCTAACCTTAATCTTAACCCTTTTACAGAATGTTTACCAAAAAATCTAACTCCGCCTATATTTGAAGTTTTAAAAGATATCCATAAATGAATCAGGAATACAAAAAACTCAAAGTAAATGCTGAACAGATAAAGGATGAAGGGGGGAAAAAATGAAGAAGAGAAGAGAAAATTGTTATAAGATTGGATGAATTCAGTTTTTGGACCCATACCAAAGAAAGCAAACACCTTGAAGTTTAACAATGCCAGCACCGTTGCATTGTTAACTTATTAAAACCACAAAATCAGGACCGGCAGTTGGGATGGATGAAAAAGACATTAATCAATACAGAGTTTGTTTTTACCAGTACAACTGTGAGTGCCGTAAAGCCTTGTGCCATCCAATGATAATACACAGAGCTGGCTACATACTGAAGTGATGAACAGGGGAATGTGAGGAGCTGCTGTTGAGCCAACTAACAGTGTAAAAGCTGGATGGACTGGAGAACACAGTGACAATACCATTAAACATTTATACATCAGAAAATGTATGGATTTAATTTGTACTGTAAGTGGTGTTGTCGTTCTGCTACAAACTGCAAAGAATAGAGCAGGGTAATGATTGATACAGTCGGCTTATGAGGGAACGCCCACTAACGGAAGTTAGTGGGCAGAGTTCAAACTCTGTAAAAGAAGTAATCCATTCATTTTAATGGAGAAGGGCTGTTCTGTTCCCCACTGTTAAACTACAAGAACAGTCAGTAATCTTTTGGATCTTTGGATATGCACCAAATACAGACAAACATATGGAAAAAGAAAAAGTGGTCCAACGGCTCAACTTTGTATATAAAAGCACTAGGGGTGTAATGATATCCAAGTCTCACGATACGACATCGTCACGGTATGATATCATGGGAAAGTTCACAATATGGTGGGGAGGCTCACAATTAAGGATGTAACAATATCCAAATCTCTCTGTTCGATGTTTTCACAATATTTTGTGGAGGCTAAAAAAACTGTTAATATTCTACTTTTTCCTCTTAAAATGCCTTGACAAGATTTAATCCAAAGAGCTAAGACTTAAAAGTGCTTAGAACTGTTGTTTCTTCATGTAATCTACACTCAAATGGAGCAAAGGATCATGGTCTATGTAGTTCTCTGTCTTTTTTTTTTTTTTTTTTTAGCTATTGCTGCACCATAACTCTTAATTTAAGCAAAGAGACTTGTTAATAGCCACGGATGCTACTATGATGCTAGCTGCCTGGTGTATTTTTACATCAACAGAACAATCAGTTTGCCTCTCTTCTCTGGGGTAATGCCATGTCAACATAGCACTTTTCTGGACACTCAAAGATGCGACTTGCTTTGAATTATTTGTTTAAAATACACCTAATCCACCAGGAAACGTCAAAATGCAGAACATATTCAGCCAGAATATAAGATTGAAACCAGATGGAGAAAACCTGATGTGGAAGGCCACGTCTGTTCAAACCTGTTCAAACCTAATCATGTTAAATGGATGATCACGTTCATGAGTTTGGTCCAAAAGTTGAAGTCCTTGTTTAACTTTTGGAGACTAAACTAATCCAAAACTCTGCCTCTTCTACATGTGGTTTTATTGGGCTGTTTGTGCAGACTTGAATCCAGGCAAGTAAAATAAGGTCTGAAAGGCCTCAATGGCCCAATTCACTTACCTGGTAAAATATTGAATAAGAAAAAGAACAATATGATGATGAGTCCACATGATAATTTATGGTCTAAGGCTTTAGTTTTGGGCCTAATCTGGTCCAAATGCGGGCCAGATTCTAGATTTGTTTGGAGACTGCATGGTCTCTTTTGGGCTGATCTGGTCTAAATATGAATGGTGGATTTGGACAGACTGGTAAGGTTTTATTCTAAGACAACACTTCTACAGGTTAAACTTCCAAACTTTATTTGTCAGTTGATTTGGTTCATTCTACATCTGAATTCTCAGTCTTGGGTTTTTACTTTGTCTTTTGTATTTCTGTACTGGTTTAAACGAGGGCCATATTTGGACTGGTTTATAAAGTGTGATGGCTCTGGTCCTAACCCTTACACTGACATACTGTTTATTCTAATCTACAGTAACTCTTCCACTCTTTGTACTGGTGGCCAGTCTGTTCTATTGTTGCTTGTTAATTGTTTTGGGCCTTAAGTGCTTCAAATGTGAGTCTAATTTTAATGTTTTCTCTTTGCAGACCTAATCCACTTCTACAGATTAAACTCATTTTCTTTGTTCATTTTTATTTCCAACCAGGTCTGAAACTGACAGTCTTGGTTTTTGAGGGAAATGTGTTTTATTATGCTTGGTTTGAACTGTGTGATGATTGAATCCTAATCTATTTTTTCCACAAGTTGTGGAAGAGTTATCAGCCTGTTCATTTGGACCTTAAACCAGTTTAAAATATGTCAGCTGAAGTGGTTCAAATGTGAGCTGAATTATATTTTCATTGTGTAACATTTTGTCTTCACAGGTCACAAGATGAAGATATTTTGCTTGTCTTCCCCTAAGACTGAAGTTTGTGAGCAGTACATTTACACTTACTAACACAATACCCCTGTACAAGCACAGTCGGTGGGTCTAATGCAGCCACAGAGGGCGCTGTGTGTCCCTTTGTGTCACTCCCTAGCCTGGACAAGAGTTGCTTTGGCATAAAATCT